CAAGACATAGGCTCCCTGTGCCTCTTCGAGAGGTTTTTGAGAGACTTTGAATCACTGTGGGAATACAGTGGAGAGAAGGTGATATTTGGCAAAGGGACTAAGCTGAAGGTGAATCCCAGTAAGTATCATGTTGTTGTTTAGTCGTTTAGTCATGTCCGACTCTTTGTGACCCAGTGGAACAGAGCACGCCAGGCACTCCTGTCTTTCACTGCCTCATGCAGTTCGGTCAAACTCATGTTAGCGGCTTCGAGAACACTGTCCAACCATCTCATCCTCTGTCGTCCCCATCTCCTTGTGCCCTCCATCTTTCCCAGCATCAGGGTCTTTTCCAGGGAGTCTTCTCTTCTCATGAGGTGGCGAAAGTATTGGAGCCTCAGCTTCAGGATCTGTCCTTCCAGTGATCACTCAGGGCTGATTTCCTTCAGAATTGATAGGTTTCATCTTCTTGCAGTCATAGTTCATTTTATTTGTGGATGATTCCCTGTGTGGAACATGTGTGACTATGAGTTAAGGGTATCTGCAGATGACCCAGTGATCCCCATGTTGTTGTTTTAGCAACAAATCTTGTCAAGGAAAGGGAATCCTGTTCAGCCCAACACACTATTGTGTTATCTTGAATATGCTAGTATTTATTAACACTTACCCTGGCCATGAGAATGTCAGAATTGTTTTATTGCAAGGGTGAGGAGCCCATGTCCCTCCAGAGATTGCTCCCATCCTCTCTGACCATTGGTCATGCTGCCTGAGGCTTATGGGAGTTGGAATCCAACCACATGGGGGGATCACAGGACTTAATTCTGAATCAAGGGGGGTTAATTCCCAAGGTGAAGCAGATAGAAGAAGAAGAAATCTCATCTAGAGGAATTCCACCATTCCATTCTTGAAAAGAAGCAAGGAAAACTCTCCCTAGAACTTAGATTTTGACTTGTACTGCATAGGATCAGAGGAAAATTTAGAGGAGCACAACCAGCTGAGTCACAATGGGCACTGCAGGGGATGCCACAACTATTATTTAGAATGGAGTGCAATAGTAAGGGGGCACCAAATTTTAGTATCGGACAGGGTGCCACTGAAATTTGAGACCCCAAGGTCCACCACAGATAGGATGGTATCTAACAACCAGGGAGCATTGCAAGTCCATCCCTACACCAGGGGTGGGGAACCTGTGACTCCCCCTATATGTTGTTGGGCTCCAACTCCCCTTAGCCCCAGTCAGCATAGTCAGTGGCAAGGGGTCATGGTTGTAGTCTGGCAATATCTGCAGGACACCAGATACCCTTCTTGTCCTAGACTATCCCCAGCATCTGTGTGTTCCTTCTGCCTGGGTAATTTTTGTCAAGAGAGGAAACACTGTGGGTCTTCCAGTAGTAACTGGAAAGTAACCTTTGGAAGTGGGACAAGACTGGTTGTGACACCAAGTAAGTTTCCGTGTTTAATTCCTTCCATTTTGCATGTGTAATGGACCAGATTACCTCCATCCTTCCTCAAACAAAGGCAGCCCACCCCCCCAACCTAGTCTTCAGGTTGAGCCTAGGGGGGCAACCAGGAACACAGTGCTAGTCCCTAGAGCAGCTCCCTCCAACCTTGAGCTCCCCAGGTGCTTATGACTACAACTCCCATCAGCCTCAGCCAACCCAGTTGTAGTCCCAATATAATTTGGAAGACATCAGCTGCCTCATATCGCCTGCCCTATAATATCTATTAGCACGTTCAACTCTTAACTTTGTGTGTTTCTGGTGACTGAGCCATATTCGTCAAGGGAGGAAACACTCTGGGTGTTCAGTGGGTCCTTCAAAGTAATCTTTGGAAGTGGGACTAGACTGGTGGTGACACCAAGTTAGTTATAGTTTTTAATCTCTTAAATTCTGGGTGTATGGCAGTTTGGGTTATACCTTTTCATCCAAGTGCAACACCCAAACCTAGTCCTGTATTGCAATAAATAGGTTGAGATTAGGAGGGAAACCAGAAATACTGTGTTGGTTCACACAGCAGCTATGCCTAACTAACCTTGTGTGCTCCAGGGGTTCCTGGACTACAACTCCCATTAGCCATGTCCCATGGTCATGGGTGATGGGAGTTGTAGTCCAACAACATCTGGAAAGACACATTTTCCCTGTCCCTCTTTAGAGGTTTTTGTGAGACATTGAATCACTGTGGGAATGTAGCTGGAAATAAGGTGATATTTGGAAAAGGAACTATCCTGAAGGTGAACCCCAGTAAGTATTAAGGCTCATTTAATTTGTGCTTGATGTCAAACCCAATGGGGGGGGATCATTTTCACTCGTCTTCAGATTAAGTTCCTCCTATAAGTTGGAGTCCCCTTCAGCTCTTGGTTATGTGTGATTCTTGAGCCTGGAAAGTTTTTGTCAAAGCAGGAAACATTGTGGGTATGGCAGTGGCAGCACGAAGGTAACCTTTGGAAAGGGGACTAAACTGGTTGTGACACCAAGTAAGTTTTAGCCTTTAATTCATTTCATTTTGTGACTGTGAGCGATCGGGATCCCCTTCCCTAATCAAAGACAACCAATTAAACTTGGTCTGATATACAATGCAGGGCTAGTCCATAGAGCAGCTTCCTCCAAACTTGAACTCTGCAGGCGCTTTGAACCACAACTCCCATCAACCTCAGCCAGCACAGTCAATGGACAGGGATGATGGGAGCCGTAGTCTACTATCATCTGGGAGACACCAGGTACCCCATGATCGCTGCCCTATATTATCCCTTAGCACCTTCTCAAGTCTGCCTCTGAGTCGCTTTTTGTCAAGGCAGGCTATATCAGTGGATCCTGGAAAGTAGCTGTTGGAAGTGGAACCTGACTGGTGGTGACACCAAGTAAGTTTCAGCACTTAATCCCTTTTGTTTGGGATGGATGGCGTTTGGGAATACTATTCCCGGCACAAATGCCACATGCAAAACTTTGATTTATACAGTTGTGTGCAAGTTGAACTCAGAAATGCAGCATCAATCCCTAGAGCAGCAGTCTCTAACAATGTGTTCTCCAGGTGTTGTTGGACTACAACTCCCATCAGACCTAGAGACCATATCTAAGGGTCAAGGATGATAGGAGTTGTAGTCCAACATCATCTGCAGAGCCACAGGTCTCCCTACCCCTTGTTCTAGAGGTTTTTGAGTGACATTGAATCACTGTGGGGAAACAATGCAAACAAGGTGGTCTTTGGTAAAGGGACTGTCCTGAAAGTGAATCCCAGTAAGTATCATGGTTCATATTATTTATTCATGATATCAAATCCAGAGCATGGTGATGGTGTTGGTGGTGGTGAGAGTTACTAACACTTAAGGGCACTGCAGATAAGTCAGTGATGGCTGTGAATTTTCTAGAAGCAAAGACTACTGGGGAAAGGAAAGCCTTTTCTGCCTACTGCCCTGCCCTGCCATTTTGAACTTACTAGACTTTAACCTTGACCATGAGAATGTAAGAATTGTTTTATTGCAGGGTGGGGAAACTGTGACCCTGCAGATGGTTCTGGGCTGCAGCTCCCACCCCCCACTCCTGACCATGCAACACCCCAAAAAGTGTTGATCCATAGATCCATAGATTTCCTAACCTTGTGCCCTTGCACCAGGTGTTGTCGGACTACAACTCCCATGAGACCTAGCTGCCATGGTCAAGGGTGATGGGAGTTGTAGTCCAACACCATCTGGCAAGACATAGGCTCCCTGTCCCTCTTCTAGAGGTTTTTGAGAGACTTTGAATCACTGTGGGAATACACTGGAGAGAAGGTGATATTTGGCAAAGGGACTAAGCTGAAGGTGAATCCCAGTAAGTATCATGTTGTTGTTTAGTCGTTTAGTCGTGTCCGATTCTTCGTGACCCCATGGACCAGGGCATGCCAGGCACTCCTGTCTTCCACTGCCTCCCACAGTTTGGTCAAACTCATGTTAGTGGCTTCAAGAACATTGTCCAACCATCTCGTCCCCTGTTGTCCCCTTCTCCTTGTGCCCCCCATCTTTCCCAGCATCAGGGTTTTTCCCAGAGCGTCTTCTCTTCTCATGAGGTGGCGAAAGTATTGGAGCCTCAGCTTCAGGATCTGTCCTTCCAGTGATCACTCAGGGCTGATTTCCTTCAGAATGGATAGGTTTCATCTTCTTGCAGTCATAGTTCATTTTATTTGTGGATGATTCCCTGTGTGGAACATGTGTGACTATGAGTTAAGGGTATCTGCAGATGACCCAGTAATCCCCATGTTGTTTTAGCAACAAATCTTGTCGAGGAAAGGAAATCCTGTTCAGGCTAACACACTATTGTGTTATCTTGAATATGCTAGTATTTATTAACACTTACCCTGGCCATGAGAATGTCAGGATTGTTTTAGTGCAAGGGTGAGGAGCCAGTGTCCCTCCAGAGATTGCTCCCATGCCTAACTAACCTTGTGTGCGCCAGAGATCCCTGGACTACAACTGCCATTAGCCTCTGTCACCATGTCCCATGGTCATGGGTGATGGGAGTTGTAGTCCAACACCATCTGGAAAGACACATGCTCCCTGTCCCTCTTCTAGAGGTTTTTGTGAGACATTGAATCACTGTGGGAATGCAGCTGGAAATAAGGTGATATTTGGAAAAGGAACTATCCTGAAGGTGAACCCCAGTAAGTATCAAGGCTCATTTAATTTGTGTTTGATGTCAAATCCAAGGGGGGAAATGTGTGTGACCAACAGTCTCCATGTGTGACCATCCATGAAAAGGCAAGAAGTGTTTTATTTGGCGCTGTAACAGAATCACATAGTATGGGTATCTGCCAATCAAAAAGTGTTGCAAGTCCATCCCTATACCAGAGATGGGGAATTTGTGGTTCTTCAAATGATGTTGGATTCCAGTTCACATCAGCCCCTGTCAGCATGGCTAATGGCCAGCGGTGATGAAGGTTGCAGTCCAGCCATATCTAGAGGACATCAGATTCTCCTCCCTGCCTATGCTACCCTTTCTCATGTCCAGCTCTTTGCTCTGTGTGCTCTTTGTGCATGGACAATTTTTGTCAAGGCAGGAAACACTGTGGGTCTTCCACTGGTTATGGAAAAGTAACCTTTGGAAGTGGAACAAGACTGGTTGTGACACCAAGTAAGTTTCAAGCCTTAATTCCTTCTATGTGCAACAGATCATAATACCTTCTTTTCCAAACAAATGCAGTCCCCAAAACTTGGTCCGGGGTAAGTGGAGCGACCAGGAACACAATATTAGTCTGTGAAGCATCTTTGTCCAACATTGCATCCTCCAATTGCTTTGGACCATGACTCCCATCCGCATCATCCAGCATCTGATGATCAAGGATGATAGAAGATGTGGTCCAGTCTTCGAGACACCAGGTTCACCATCCCTGCTCTATACTATCCCTGAGCACATTGTACACTCCTTGTGTCTGGGCAATTTTTATCAAGGCAGGAAGCACTGTGTGTCTTCTACTGGTAACTGGAAAGTAATCTTTGGCAGTGGGACTAGGCTAATTGTGACACCAGGTAAATTTAAACCCTTATTTAGTTTCATTTTGTGAGTGTGACAGATCCGAATACCCCCCTCTTCCTCATCCGAGTGCAGCCCTCCAAATTTGAAATTGTGTTACCCAGTGCTATTTTTCTAGAAAAAGCAATGCCTGGAACTCACCATGAACACCTCCCTCATTCTCTTACAATGGCAATGGCCCACTTGAGAGCTGCTGGAACTTTTGGTGAGTTCCAGCTGGGAAAAAAAGCCTTGGTCAAGTTGAGCTTCACAGAACAACCAAGAAGACAGTCTTTAGCAGCTTTCTCTAACCTCCCCCCCCCCTCTGGGGGCTTTTGTAGTCCAACAGCTCAACCCAGCATGGCCAATGGTCAGGGATGATGGGAGTTGCAGCTGAAACTTTGTGAATTCCTTCAAACCATTAACATACCATTGGAGTCCCATGCTGGACTCTCTTGCCTTTGAAACATACATATATTTACCAAGTTCCAGCACCACAGATAATGTAGGTATTGGCTACCAGCCAGCATTTAAGCAATCACCCTGTTGCCTAAAGCTAGCCCTCAAGATGTTGCAGGGCTCCAAGTCTTACATTGCCATAAATAGGTTGAGATTAGGGGGGAGACCAGAAATACTGTGTTGGTTCACACAGCAGCTATGCCTAACTAACCTTGTGTGCTCCAGGGGTTCCTGGACTACAACTCCCATTAGCCCTAGTCACCATGTCCCATGGTCATGGGTGATGGGAGTTGTAATTGAACACCATCTGAAAAGACAGATGTTCCCTGTCCCTCTTCTAGAGGTTTTTGTGAGACATTGAATCACAGTGGGAATGCAGCTGGAAATAAGGTGATATTTGGAAAAGGAACTATCCTGAAGGTGAACCCCAGTAAGTATCAAGGCTCATTTAATTTGTGCTTGATGTCAAATCCAAGGGGGGAAATGTGTGTGACCAACAGTCACCATGTGTGACCAACCATGAAAATGCAAGAATTGTTTCATTTGGCTCTGGAACAGAATCACATAGCACAGGTATCTGACAATCAGAAAGTGTTGTAAGTCCATCGCTATACCACTCCCATCAGCACCAGCCAGCTGACTCTGTTATTTAGCTTGGGGTGGGGAAGCGGTTAATCTTGCTGGACTTTGATTCCTATCACCCTGACAATTGGACACGCCAGCTGAAGCAGGTGGGAGTGGGAAATCCAACACCATTTGGAGAGCTGTGGGTTTCTCACCCCTGCTCAGACCTTGAGAGAGTTGTGCTTTGCTCAGTGGTGGACTTTGGGGTCTCAAATTTCTCTGCTTTGGTTCAAATTGGTTGGTGTAAGTATGAATAAAAGTCCATTCAATTAAACCTTTGACTTGTAGCTGCTGGGATGGACAAGGTAGGATAGATTATTCTAACCAAGAATCTCTTACATTCTGTCCACCGCCTCCCCATTTTTTTTACTACCCCAATGGATTTAATCTACAATCCTAACTCCATTTATTTAGGGGTAAACTATTTTCACACACACACACACACACACACACACCGCTGCACCATAATGCATGCCAATGAACTCTCAGACAGCCACCATTTTGTAGAGATGTGTCTCACAGTGCTGAAAATGTTGGTTGGAAAAAGATATTTGGAAGTGGGTCCAAGCTTGTGATTATTCCTGGTGAGTCGACATTGCTGTTGACAGTGGCATTTAAAGAAACTGGATTTGTGGGTTTTTATGGGATTCTTTTTCATGATTTGTTCCGTACTGAGATTTTCTGATTATACCAATACATCATCCCTACTCTATTTATCTTTGTGGGATAATTCTTGATTCTTTATACAACTTAATTGAGAACATTATTTCTTTTTCTTTAAAAAAAACACCAAAACTGGTTTGAAATCACAATTAATTTCAATTTATGATTATGCTATCCAATAATAGAGTAGACCCATTGAAATAAATGGATTTACTCTATCGCTAAGATATTGCACTGTATGCTTGTATTTACCACTTTCTTAAGTGCTTTGCCCTCCAGTTTTTCCTGAACTGCTGCTCCCATAACACCCAGCAAGCATGGCCAATGGCCGGGGATGATGGGAGTTGTAGTTTAGCAGCAGCTGGAGGGACAAAGGTTCCTCACCCCAGCCCACAGGACAAAGAGTTTAGCCGCTATTTTGTAAAGGTGCATCTCACAGTGCTTACAACTGCTAGTGGGTTTGGGAAACCCACATTTGGAAGTGGGACCAGACTAGTAGTACTTCCTGGTAAGCAGAGACTTTTTACATTTTCTCATGTTAATTTTCTCATAGTAATCATGGTACACCATTATTTACCCCAGTGGATGTGTTATTTGCCTCAATAGCATGACATAGTCCAATCTACCCATTGGATGGAGGCATCTAATATCCATGAGTGATGAGCCAATGTCTTTTTTTAAAAATGATATTTATTAAAGTTTCACATGAAAAGAGACACATTAATAAAAAAAAAGAATTTAAAAATAAAAAGAAAAATACACAATACCAAATACAGAAAGAAAAAAGAAAAAACAGTTAAAAACAATTCCATCTTTTCATCACTACTTTTAGATTTACTTATTTCCTCATACCTCCCTCTTTTGTATTCCAATTCAGTTTGTTTATCCAGCAATTCCTTTCCCTCCTTTTTAATCCCAGTCCTTAATCTTAATATAATATAACATTAAATTTTTACCTATTAAAAACCAATTTTCCATTCTTTTAACCTTTTTAATCCTAATCCTTAATCTTGATCTGTATATAACTTTAAAGCCTGTACAGCTAGAAGCCACTTAATTTCAATCCATCATCACTCTAACATTCTTTAATTTTGCAATATTTCTGTAAGTAATCTTTGAATTTCTTCCAATCTTCTTCCACCGACTCTTCTCCCTGGTCACGGATTCTGCCAGTCATTTCCGCCAATTCCATATAGTCCATCAATTTCATCTGCCATTCCTCCAGTGTGGGTAGCTCTTGTGTCTTCCAATACTTTGCGATGAGTATTCTTGCTGCTGTTGTTGCATACATAAAGAAAGTTCTATCCTTTTTTAACACCGATTGGCCGACTATGCCCAGGAGAAAGGCCTCTAGTTTCTTCAAGAAGGTATATTTAAATACCTTTTTTAATTCATTATATATCATCTCCCAGAAAGCCTTAATCCTTGGGCACATCCACCAAAGGTGAAAAAGTGTACCTTCAGTTTCTTTACATTTCCAACATTTGTTATCGGGCAAATGGTAGATTTTTGCAAGCTTGACTGGGGTTATGTACCACCTGTATATCATTTTCATAATATTCTCTCTTAAGGCATTGCATGCCGTAAACTTCATACCTGTGGTCCACAACTGTTTCCAGTCAGCCATCATTATGTTATGTCCAACCATACTCGGTGATCACAGCCATGGACTTGTGTAACTACATTGATTTCAGTGGGTCTAGTCTGAGTATGACCCAAAGTTTGTTTGACCTAACTTCCAAATAGATATCTGAGTGCCTTGAAAAGGAAAAGCCGATGGGCAATTAGCTCTATATATGTTGTTATATCTCTGGTGCAAAGGACCAGGATAATGCCTGGGGCCCATAAGAAGGCCGCCATTTTGTAAAGGTACATATCACAGTGCTAACACTGCTGGTGGATTTGGTAAACTTGCATTTGGAAGTGGGACCAAACTATTAATACTCCCTGGTAAGATGACACTTCTTCTTTTTCATGTATTGTTGTTTTTAAGGTATTCATGGTAGATCATTATCTGCCTTGGTATGTTGCTTCCATATATTGCATGACACGATCATGAGCATTCTTTACAAATTGGATGGAAGCATCTACTATCAGTGATATTCAATGTTAGTCATACTTAGAACACACCACCGGAAATCAATGGATTTTGTAATTGAAGTGCATCGATTTCAATGAGTCTACTCTGAGTATTGTTCAGTTGACTGTCACCCAATGTAAATTGGCATTCACTTCCAGAGAAGGTATACAACTGCTTTAAAAGAAACAACACCTTTGAGATAAAAAGAACTGGACTTTGGAGTAAATAATTGACAGTATATTTGTCTGTTATATCATATCTCTGACTGCTAGGTGCCAGTTCTATGTCTGGGGGATTGTTATTTTAAAATAGTGACCTACTGAGGGGAGACTGAGAGGAGATATGATAGCCATCTTCAAATATCTGAAGGGCTGTCACATGGAGGATGGAACAAACTTGTTTTCTCCTGCTCTGGAAGATAGGACTCGAACCAATGGTTTCAAGTTGCAGGAAAGGAGATTCTGACTAGACAGAAAAACTTTCTGACAGTAAGAGCTGTTCGACAGTGGAACAGTCTCCCTCAAGAGGTTGTGGACTCTTCATCCTTGGATGGTCATCTGTCATGGATGCTTTTTGAAGTTCTTTCCTTCTGAAACATGACTAGATATTCACAACCACCACCGTGTAGCACCAATAGAGCAGGCAACATGATGCATTAAAGTCTTACAAGTCCACCATTTTGTAGAGGTACATGTTATGGTGTTAATAGTGGATGGGGAAAATTCATATTTGGCAGTGGGACCACGCTTGCAATTGTTCCTGGTAAGTGGGCATTTCTGTTGCTACCACTGTTTAAGAACACTTGACTGTAATGTAAAAAACTTTTTTTTAAAAAAATATATATATATTCATTTATTCCTTAACACAGTTGGGCAGAAAACTGGATTTTCTGGTCACACTGTGTTCTAAGTGGCTCTTCATTTTTCATCCTTGAGGGATCCAAAGTGAAACCTGGGTTTTTGTTATACATGAAGTCACTGTGTATATGGAGGAGCTGGCACCAAATTATTATTTGGAGCGGGGACAAAACTGATTGTTAAACCAAGTAAGTCAAATACAGGAAACAATCTAGTTGGCAGGTGAGCCATTTTGGCCCAAATCTTGGAAATGCACTAGATACATATTAATGACCACTTACCAGAACAATATGGATTTTCTTTAGCTTGTATTGACCTTTCACTCTCCAGGGGAAAATGTGCCCAGCATAATATTTTAAGTTTGTGGCAATAATTTATTCCACATATGTGGATTTGATAGCTTAGCATATGTACAAATGTGACCTGCACCCACAAAAAAGTAAAAGCTGTGTACTTATACCTGAATGGTGGTATACAATATTTTTCTTATACGGAGGTTTCCGCTATGTAGCAAAATTGGAAACGATCTCATATGAAAACAATCTCAAATAACCTAATCAATCTAGATCAAGAACTAACTGCAACTCCCATCATTCCTCACCATTGCCCATACTAGCTAGGGTTGATGGGAGATGGAATCCAGCATCTGGAGGATCACATATTCCCTATCCCTGACATAGATTCCTTAGGTCATTTGAGATCTATTTCATATGTGCCATTTTATGCTTTGTTGTCATTTAGTCGTGCCCGACTCTTTGTGACCCCATGGACCAGAGCACGCCAGGCACTCCTGTCTTCCACTGCCTCCCGCAGTTTGGTCAAACTCATGCTGGTAACTTCAAGAACACTGTCCAACCATCTCGTCCTCTGTCGTCCCCTTCCCCTTGTGCCCTCAATCTTTCCCAACATCAGGGTCTTTCCCAGGGAGTCTTCTCTTCTCATGAGGTGGCCAAAGTCTTGGAGCCTCAGCTTCAGGATCCGTCCTTCCAGTGAGCACTCAGGGCTGATTTCCTTAAGAATGGATAGGTTTGATCTTCTTGCAGTCCATGGGACTCTCCTCCAGCACCGTAATTCAAAAGCATCAATTCTTCGGCGATCAGCCTTCTTTATGGTCATTTTATGCTACATGGGGACAACTGCTGTTAACTCTCTAGGTTGCTTTAGGTGGATGGCTGGATCTGCCCCATATCTGGAATATGAGCATAATGTTCCTGACCTAACTTGTAAAAATATAGACTACACAGATTGCTGCTGTGAACATGCAGGCTACAATGTATGTAAGTTTTGCAGAAGACAAATTTAGCAGGTAGCACTACCGGTTCCAACATGGTGTAAAGGTGTGTGTCATAGTGTTAACAGTGGTGGATGGAATAAACCCATATTTGGAAGTGGGACAAAACTTGTAATTCTGCCTAGTAAGTGAACTTCTTTATATATTTTTCCTTCTTCACATTTTAAGCAATATTGACATGATGGATCAGGGGTTCCCAAGCTTGAGTCTCCAGCCGTTTCTGGACTACAACTCCCATCATCCCTGACCACTGGTCCTGCTAGCTAGGGATGGTGGGAGTTGTAGTCCAAAAACAGAAGGCGACCCATGTTTGGAAACTCTGTGATTGATTGATTGATTGATTGATTGATAGACTGATCAATCAATTGATAGAATTGAGAGGAGTACAAAAGTTACCTTTTAGAGAGGTAACTTTTGTCTTGATTCATCCCATAGCACAGTCAATTGGGACTTTCTATTTTCAAGTTATGGTTACATTAATTTCCAGAGGAATCTGTTCTTGTAGGCTGTGAGATTTCTATACATTGTTATAGGTTCAGGGATGGAGAACCTGTGGCCCTCTAGCTGTTGGTCCCATCACCCCTGACCATTGCCCATGCTGGCTGGGGTTGATGGGAGCTGGAGTCCATCATTATTTGGAGGACCACACGTTCCCCTTTCCTGGGTTGGATATGTGTCAATTCAATTAAACCTTTGGGCATTCGGTACTGGGGACTAGCAACAGGAACTGACTAACTCATTCATGTCCTCTTTATCACCTTCCAGAAGGGACCTAACTGGTGTCAGTTTGCAATCATAATGTTGAGGTAAATGCACAATTAGTCCTATGTCTATTCTGAGGAGGACAATACCATTTAGTCTAAAGATGGCAAGGTTGAAAGTCTGGATTCAACCCTCATACATTTCAGTTGTAGAGCAAACAAGTCTTTTCTTTTATAGAAATGGTCTATTGTTTTTCTTTCTAAAACACGACTACATTTTCATATTTCCCTCCATGCAATAATAACTAAATGGGCAACTTGACTGATACATGTCAAGTCTCACAGAGCCACCTTTTTGTAGAGAGGTGTCTTACAGTGTTAACAATGTTGGTCGGTCTCAAATATTTGGAAGTGGGACCAAACTTGTTGTTATACCAGGTAAGTTAGCATTTCTGCCTATACTGGCATCATGGGAAGCTTGGGTGTTCATTTTATGTACTTTTGTGGGGAATTTCTTGATTTGTTCTATAAAGCTCAGTCCTCTTTTTAGGGAGCCAGTATTTACTGTGAGTGTAACCTGGCTAGATATAACCTCTCTGAGACTAATAAGGAGTGAATAGCATAATGTCTTTCTTGTCACTTGTAGTTGACCACTGTTGGGAGGAAGAATGCTAGCAGACCATTGCTGCCATATAAGATTGCAATGCTTATGGTCCTGTGTTATTTACCACAACTACCATCATCAACACCACTCAATTCTCACATTAGGAAACTATTCAAATGATAGTCACAGACAGTAGAAATACACGTCTTTGCATTTATTTAAAGACGTGTATTTATAAGAAGACCGGTGACCCATGCACGTAATACAATTACAGTGGTACCTCGGGTTACATACGCTTCAGGTTACATACGCTTCAGGTTACAGACTCCGCTAACCCAGAAATAGTACTTTGGGTTAAGAACTTTGCTTCAGGATGAGAACAGAAATTGTGCTCCAGCGGCGCAGTGGCAGCAGGAGGCCCCATTAGCTAAAATGGTGGTTCAGGTTAAGAACAGTTTCAGGTTAAGAACGGACCTCCGGAACGAATTAAGTACTTAACCTGAGGTTCCACTGTATATTTGGGAGAGAGACAAGGTTGTCAGTGGACATGGTGAGCAAATAACATTATCTGCTTATTTTGGCCAAGATCCCAAAGGCTACTCTATGCACTCCCAAAGGCTTTGGGTTCACCCTTTTGGATTTCCGTTTTCTCTTATTCATCTTAGAACAGTAGGCCTCATCACAAAGAAGTTGTGAAACTGTTCTGAAAACTAGTTTTGTTGGGTGGGAAGTAAGGAGTGTGGATGAAAACAAGCAAAAAAAACCCATATCCAAACCACTCATTGGTCTGTTCTTTGGATCTCAGACTATTGATGCTTTTTTAGACTGCTTGGAGCATCAGGTAGTATAAAATTAAACCAGGTTAGTCTGACGCAAGGAGACATGTACTGATCCATCCGACCATGTATTCTGTAGATTTGTTGATTTTTACCTTACCCAGGAGTCTCAAACCTCTTGTCAATCAAAATATTTACAAGAGACTCAAAAGTGGACTTTTCATTCTGAAATATTACTTTTTTTTTAGTGGGAAAAGTCCCCACATGGTTCTAATAGCATGCCATCCAACAGGCTGAACGATGGCACATGTCAGCTTCCACAGAACCACCATTTTGTACAGACGTGTCTCACAGTGATAACACTGCTGGATTTAAATTCACATTGGGAGGTGGGACCAGACTTGTAGTTACCCCTGGTAAGTTGACACTTGTGTTTGTGCTGGTTTTGAGGGAAGATGGAGAATGGTATAAAAATGTCTGTTATTTTCCTCCCTGCCCTCCATGCACACAATTTTAATGCATTCTATAGTTCTGCCATCTCTTGGGTGGGAAGTTGTGATGTCATTTTCCAACCACACAGGCTCCAAAATGTTTTCTAAGCATTGGTCAGGTCCATTCATTCTGGTCCAGTCCACCATCTATTTATTAGAATTTTCAGCTACGCCAAAGCTCTGATGCCTCCTTACTACTGGATTTGGTACCTCTTAGTTCCTTTGAACACTGAGTATAGTTAGCACTGTATGGGTTTTGTCTACCACCTTGAGAGAGCATTCACACACTCATGCAGAAGAAGACTGTTGATGGCTACTAGCCAAGATGGCTATATTCTGCTTCCACAACTGGAAGCACCTGCTGGAAAAATACCATTTTCTGGAAACCACAGGAGGTTGGAGCTTGGATCCTCCTGCTTGTGGGTTTCCCACAGGTATCTAATTGGCTACTTTGGAAAGAGGAAGCTGGACTAGATGGGTCACTGAACTGATCCAATGGGCTCTTCTTATGTTTTTTTAGACTCTCTCAAAATGCTTCAAACGTTCAGAGATGCCCACCAAAATCCATAGGCAGCTCAAAGATAAGCAAACAGGTTTAATTTCAAACACTGCATATGTATATATTTATTTATGGAGCATTAGCAGTAGATTACGATAACTGTGTTAATAATAAATGGCGATAATTGATGGTGATGAATGACAACAGCAACATTGATGATTATTACATTGGTGGTATCGACTGAGATTCAAAGAGCTAACGTAGCTACCCCAAGCCGTTGTCAGCAATGTACCTTGCCCACCTGCCCTGTTGATCCACAGAGAGATTGGGTGCACATGCAGCCCAACAGAGTTTCACCCAACACAGTTCAGCCAACTCATATTCGGACTGTTCCAGCCACCCATTGAGCCAAACCCTGGGGGGCAGGACAGGGAAAGAAGAACATGAGTTACTGTATTTACAATGCTGTCAGAGTACACACATTGAAACGAATGGGCATGACTAACTTAGATCCATTAATTTCAGTGTACCTATTTTGACAATAACTTAGTTGGATACATCCTTATGCTCTTGTGACTTCACCCCTAAACATAAAGGTGGGAGGGTTTGGAGGTCCGTGTTAGTCTCTGAAAATCTTTAAAGGAAGCGAGGTACCAGACTTTGTACGATGAAAGACAAGCTGTGAAGCTTTGTGTACTCGGCAAATATGATGTCCAACACTGAACAGTGATTCTGGATATTGACTACTGTTTTGTAGAATTCTTCGTCAGTGTGGTGGGAGGATATAGAATTGCTTCAAAAACTGAAAATAAAATTTGATTTTCAGTTTATGAAGCAATTCTATATCCTTCTTGCTGAATACACAAAGCTTCACAGCTTGTCTGTCATCGTACAAAGTCTGGTACCTCGCTTCATTTAAAGATTTTCAGAGACTTTGAGACTAAAGATTTCATTTTGTACTGTTATGGTTTGAAGGAATTCTGTAAAGATTGTCTGTTGCGTATGTACATGGTCATCATGTTGCCTAGACATTGCTGAAATCCTGGAAAGGCGTAGCAAGTTAGCATCAGCCTTACTGAGCTAGCTGGGCCATTGGCCTACCTTGGTTTGAGGTAGCTTCCTGTGCTCCCATGACGTTCCCTATTATGTCAAGATGTGTTTTTGTCATACCCTAACCCACTGGGTGACTTATGGACTTAACAAATTGTTGTTTGGAGGTGGGACTCAACTGAGTGTTAAACCAAGTAAGTCAAATATTGGAAACGTTCAAATGGGGATGGAGCTGTGGCTCAGTGGTAGAGCATCTGCCTTGCATGCAGAACATCACTGGTTCAATCCCCTTCATCTCCAGGTAGGGTTGGGAGAGACTCTGGCCTGGAATCCTGGATAACCTGTTCCCAGTCAGTGCAGACAATACTGAGCTTGATGGACCAAAGATCTGACTCAGACTTGTCCAGGAAAATACCTTTTTAAACATCTATTTACACCAATAAATATTAGATAAAAATAGGTCAGTTAAAACAGAAACATATTTTGGTTTATATAACATCACAGTGAAATAATCTAATGTGTACAGTATGTACATTACAGAATGTACAGGAATTGTTGTTAAAGCTTTTCTAGAATATCCTGAATCTAGGAATCTGCTGCCCTAAATGGAAATTATTGTCTTGATCCCAAACACCTTTTGTGGAACTTCCATTCATTTCAGTAGGAGTTATTTTCATATAAAGTTTTTGGGATTAGATTGCAAATTTAATGTTAGCGTGCTGAATTGATTTTAGAATGAATTGATTTTAGAATGTATTTCAATTAATTGATTGCGTGTCGAGGTCCCCAATCCACCCCCAAAATAACTCACAACGGAGACGTAATTTTTGTTTAAGATTTTTGGCATGATTTTGGCCACAACTTTATTAAAATACAAACGTGAGTGGTTGTTTAGGCATTGTTTAAGACTATCTGTCCCCCCGCCTGGGGACAGAACTGACTTCCGGGCACCACCGAAAGACAGTGCGGGGGAAAGCAAGTCGGGGAGAAATGGAGCTGGGTCACAGACCCTCAATTCTCACCCGCCTGCTCCCCGAAGGCTTGCCGGCCCTAGTCCCATTCCAGGGATTGGACGAAAAGATGGCAAGCCCCAGGATTCCTTTAACGGAATTCCCTTTCCGCAGCAACCATGGAGGGGCAGGCCCAGCCTATCCTAACCCCTCCTCCACCAGATTTATAACCAATGCCTAACCACAACCTTACAAGTTGTGACGATTTGCTACGCAGTAGGCAAAAACCACCCAGCCGGCCAATTTGCCAGGTGGAAAAATTCCTACCAGGCCCCTGCTCAAAGGCAGACGACCCCATGACAGGCATAGCAAGGTCAATGCAACAACCCCTTACTCTAGGGCGGGTGGGCGGGTGATCCGTTGCACGCAGCAAAAGAGAAAGTACAAGGCTGCGTGCAGAGTATTTAAACCTTTTACCCCTCCCACCAAAATTGCAACACAACTTTTGCCCCAGCAACTCAGCAATCCAATCACTGCCCCCTGGCCATCTTGGAGAACTTACCCAGCAACAAAGGGGGTGGCTCAGTAGACCCCACCGCAACACGTGCTCTCCCTGAAGGAGAACACGCTTTGTGATTTTATGTGTTTGGGATGTGTTACATTTACTGTTGTTAGCTGCTCTGAGCCCCGCTTCGTCTGGGGAGGGCGGGATATAAATAAAATTTTATTATTATTATTAAGGTAGCTTTCTGCAAGTGTGTCAGGGTGTATGTATGTGTATGTGTGTGTGTGTGTGTGAGAGAGAGAGAGAGAGAGAGAGAGAGAGAAAGAAAGAGGGAGAGAAATAATATGCTCTGGAATATGTTTGGATCCAGTTATTCTTCACTGCACAAGAGGCATATGCAGAATTAAGTATATTTGAATGAGAAAGGGGAATCATAGAGTTGGAAGGGACCAAAATGGTCATCAAGTTCAACCTCCTGAAATGCAGGAACCACAATGATGGGATGTCTGGGTGTAGAGCGGTATATAAATTCAATAAATAAATAAAATGGCTTATGCAAAAATTCCAACCATGCCCTAGCGTCCTCATGGAATTCTGGACCTTGCCTGTTCAGTACCATCCAATTCACCATTACGCATATTTTAAGCTTTATTGTAGTTATTGGTGGGATTAGTCGTTGCTCGTCAGCTGCTGACCCTGGAGTTGCTCTATAGCAGGGTTGGGGAACCTGCGGATATGCCTTCATTTACTCACTGAACTGTAGAGAAGAGCTGTGGGTTGCTTCTCAGGTTGTGCCGTCATCCTCATAGCGAAACAACAGCCCACAGCGAGGTGTGAACTTTGTGGGCGCTTCTGGGAAATGGTTCCTGAGAGCTGGAGGAGTGTGCTCTCGGTTGCACTGAGCGAGAGCTCAGCGGAGCAGACAGGGTCCTTCAGTGCAAACCTTTTGCCAGTTGCTCACTGCAGAACAATGCAAAACAAGCATCTGCTCACTTGGGGTTGTAGCTAATGGTAATTCTACTCAGAGCAAGCTGTTGCAACATACATTCCAACATATGCTTGTTGAGAAGAATGGCTAACACCGAAGCATTAATTTCTCTGTTTACTCTGGACTTGCATTCATTCCATACATTTATAGTGCTATGATACCATTATGCCTGCATTCCGAGACTGGTTGACTAGTTCTATGATTCATCTTAAACAGTCATGGCTTCCCCTCCACCCAAAGGATTCTGGGAGCTGTAGTTTGCTGAAGGTGCTGAGGGGTCTTAGCAGACCCCCTGTTCCCCTCACAGAGCTACAGTGAGTTGTTTAACAATCAGTGCCTTTTTACAGGGAATGCTGGGTATTGTAGCTCTGCGAGATGATCAGGAGATTCCTAGCAACTCTCTGCACCTTTACCAAACTACAGAATCCTTTACCAAATTCCCAGAATCCTTTGGGGGAAGCCATGACAGTTTAAAGTGGCATCACTATAAGTGCATGGTGTGAATGTGGCCTAAGACTTAGTTGGATACAAACCTTTCTTCGGCTCGTCTATTCCAGGGATAAATGGAATCTCTCCAGAATCGGCAGCTCCCATAAGCCCACCACAGCCAGCATGGCCATTGCTCAGGGATGATGGGAGTCAGAGTATGGCAATATCTGGAAGGGCAGAGATTCTCTGCTACTGATTTTTTCTGATATTTTCTTTGAAGATTATTGTTGAGTGGTGCATTTTTATATTGTTTTCCATGAGTTTTCATTCTGAGATGCCATGAATGCCTTTTTCTTAAAGGACCGGTGAAAGAAGGAGGGGAGATCATATGTAATCGGAGTCAGATTTTTGCGGAATGGATGGATAATTTAATCCTGCCTCTCACCCACCCCTCTGCCCATTATTAGTATGGCATTGACTTTCACAGCATATGTCAATTTCAGCTGCAGTTTCTAACTTCTGGTTATCCTTTGCTTCCCCCCATTCAGAGCTTGAGCCATCTGAGCCTTCCGTCTACAAACTACAGTCACCCAAGGAAGAAGACAGAGACATTTCTGCCTGCCTTATCACCGACTTTTCCCCCGCACCCATCAGAGTGGGGGCTGATGGAATTGATGAACACGAGGTCAATGGCTCAGTCGTCGTAGTGAAAGAAAGTGGCAAGGAAACACCCAGCTACGGCAAAGTGATCTGGGGCAAAGCCAAAGAGGCTGATGGTTGTTATGCTGAGCAAAATAACAATAGATTTCCATCGGAGTCAGCAGGTAAAAAGCAGACTGTGTAAATGTTTGCAAGCCAATTGGACGATGATCTGAAAATCTATATATTCTGCCTGGTCTTCAAAAAGTCTCAAGGCAGCTTACCATCCAAAACTCTAAAAAGCAATGAGGAGACAACAGTGCCCACTGAAGCCACAGCCGTTGGTGTCTGTGCTAAGCCCCCATAACCACAACCCAAAATAGCCATCAAAACAAAGGTCACATAAAGAACCATTCTTTAAAGCACATTATTTCAACCCAGAATAATTCTGCAATTTCTCAAGCGTGCTGGATACTGTAGCTCAGTGAGGGGTGATCTGCAGTGTCCCAGGATTATTTTGGGGGAAAGAATTGATTGATTATTTGTGCTTTAACTGTCCACAAAGGTGAACCGGCCAAAGCAGAACAGTGGTATGAAAGCATTTTTAGAAAAGGTAGTTTTCTTCTTACCAACCACCTAAAACAATTCAGTGATGAGACACCACACCTGGCAAGTTGTGGTGTACAGGTTGGAAGCTGCAATAGCTTCGTCACCAGCCTTGTTTCCTGAGGTCAAGGGATCAGGAAATTCAATCCCATCCTTTTACCTCATATTTTGCTATATGCATGTTTCATGCCTGCATTAATGCTGCATAATGCTTTTCTTGCAACTTCTTTCTCTCTTTTCTTTCTCCAATTCCCTCCCCCCTTTCCCTGTAATTTTAAAACTTCACTAAAAATTATATGATAAAGGAAAGAGAATCAATGAAAACTGAAAATGTAATAATCCTTTATCATCATCATTAATTCTCATTCCCGTCATTGTTACAGAGGCTGCAACCACCTGCTCAGAAAAGACAACAGGCGGTTTTGAGACAGGTACGTATGTGCAAAAAGGGATGTGCAACTTGACTGGGAACCGAATGAAAATCAAATCATAATCTTGCCCCCGTGAGCAAGATTATGCCTTAGCTGTCTGTAGATTAGTTGCCAGAATTTGACCAAAGCAGACACAGTGAGAATATTAAGGGGGGGGGGGTGTATTCTGCAACATGCCATTGGCGTAATAATAGCGCACTCTGGCCTAAAAAGAAAAGTGGGTTTGTTGCTTAAGAAGGTAAGAAGAGTCCATTGGATCAGGCCAATGGCGCATCTGGTCCAGTATCCTTTTCGCCTAGTGACTGAACAGTTGCCTGTGGGAAGCCAGCAAACAGGATTTGAGCACAGGACCCCTCTCCCCTCCTGTAGTCTCTAGCAAGTGTTATTCAGAAGCATTTCTGCCTCCAACTGTAGCAACAGGGTGTCGCCATTGTGGCTAGGAGCCTTCTCTGCCGTGCATCTGAGCACGTCAATCCACTTTAATTGGGCCAACCTAAATACGCCAGTTTGTGATTGAATCCCTCCCACAAAAATGGCGAGAGTCCAGAAGAGACCTCGTTGCTTTAAAAACAACAACACTCATCGTCCAAATTGTCCATGGCAGTAGCTTGCAAACGGACATCTTTTGTGACATTTATTCTCTCTTTCTCTCTTCCCCCATCCTTTGTTTTAATCAGACGAGAGGTTGAATCTCCTCTCCCTCACCGTGCTAGGACTGCGAGTCATTTTCCTCAAGTGTGCTGCCTTCAACCTGCTGTTCACCTTCCACGCTTGGTCTAGCTGAGGTAAGCAAGGAACAGACTCACTTAAGAGTCCTGGCTGAGGCTGATGGGAGCTGTGGTCCAAAATGTATCTGGTCAGCGAAGGTTGTCTTTGGAGCTCTGGCTTTTTCCCTAATATGGTCTCCGTATCTCACGGTGATTCACAGTTCACCATCAGTTGGGCTGTTGCCCCAGAGGAACCACCATCGCTCCTTATCCTTGTGCTCTGGTACAGGAGTGAGGAACCTTTTTGGCCTGGAAGGTGGTGGCAGTTCTTAATCTCCCCACCTTCCCAGAAGGCCCCACCACCATCTGACATCATGATGATGTCAGCACCATGCCAAAGTTGACCTGCTGGAGAGGAGTGGTCAACAAGGAACATGCAGGCTTAAACTTTCCATTCACCAGCTGATGAGCAGAGGTGCCAATCCTGCTCTTTGCCGAGGTTTTGTTATGCCAGAGCATTCCCTACTGGGAACACACTGGGGAAGCTGAGCAAGGCAGGACTGAGCCCCTCCCCCATCACCTAATGCCATCAGCTGATTGACAGGTGGGCGTGGTTTGGGGAAAGTGGTGTCACAGGGCAAACTGGCTGGTTGACCTGCAGATTGGAGGTCCTCTCCACCTCTGTTCTGATGAATGGGTACCAAGGTGTTAGCACGGAGGTACTTAGGGTTTGATTTTACATCCTCTTGGACTGAAGAACTGGATTAGTTATGGAAGCTTAATTTATAGAATTCATTGCCTGAGATGGGGAGATAGACAAATCCACAGAGGCTAAGAATTATCCTGAGGCTTTCAGTCCATGAAGGCCAAATGGGACCTTCAACCTGAGACCAGTAGGCCCATGGATCCTGGATGGAGAGGGCTGATCTGTTCGTGGGCTTCACAAAGACATTTGGCTGGGCAATGTTGCTTGCCGGGTGGGGGGATGCTGGATTAAACAGACCCTCTAGATGTGGGACTACAGCTCCCATCATCCCTGACCATTGCCCATGATGGCTGGGATTGGTGGGAGTTGGATGAATGAGTTAAGGTGTCCATTTATAGCATGGCATTTCTGTGCTCTCTGGCACTCATCACAGTGTTCCATTGTGCCAGAAGCAGTTTAGTCATGCTGGCCACATGATCCGGAAATCTGTCTGTGGACAAATGCTGGCTCCCTCAGGCTGAAAAACGAGATGCCCAATAGTCACCTTTGACTGGACTTAACTGGTCCTTTACCTTTTACCTTATCTATTTAGCAGGTGCAGGGAACCTGTGACCCTCCAGATGTTGCTGGACTACAACTCCCATCATCCTTGGCCATTGTTGATGCTACACAGGACTGATGGGAATTGTAGTCTCATCAAGATCTGAAGGACCACAGGTTCTCCATCCTTGTCTGCTTCTGCAGGGCTCTGTTATTATGCAATTGCAAAAGTATCTAGGGGACCAGATTGCCTTCCTGACTCCCTGTAACAAAAGCCATAAACCCTGTAGCTGAATGTATGTTTTCCTGTCTTTGATGCTTGCATCTTTCTGCAACTGCCTATGTAATGGCTTCTGATCTAGATAATAACCAGGATTTCTCAATCTCTTCTTCCAGTTCAGAAATGGCAGAAACATGGGGAACATATCTGGTACATTGTGGAAGAACAGAGACATGTACCAAGTCATCTCCAGCACAGAGCATACATGAGGGACATCTACAACTGCTTGGAAAGAACCATACTCTTGCACTCCTTTCAGCTAGGGGTGCCGCCAGCTTTTATTCTGACAGGGGAAAAGCTTCAACTTCTGGATTTCTGCTTTTTTTGTACAGCCGCTTAATGCTCATGAGCTCTGGGAGAGAGATAAAGTCGACAAACCAACATCCTGCTTCATTGTATCGCACTATCTTGTGAATATAATCGACACAAAGCATCCTGTATTGTTACAGAATATTAAAAGTGTATATGTTTAAATCCTCTATGCATGTTTGGTGCTTTATGAATATGTGGTGGTTTTTCTCCGCCCCCGCCCCCCCCCCCCGCCCACTGGTCCACAAAAATGAAATGGTAGAATAATAGAATTGTAGAGTTAGGAGGGATCAAGTCCAACCCCCGTGACACAAGAATCTCAACTGAAGCATCCATGGCAGATGGCCATCTAACTTCTGCTTTCAAACCTCCGATGAAGGAGAGCCCAGCACTTTCTGAGGGAGTCTGTTCTACTGTCGAACAACTCTTGCTGTCAGAAAGTTCTTGCTGCTACATGATAGTCAAATAAGAAATTCAGAAATGACAGTAACATAGGCGTGAAATGCGTTGTTCTGAATTCTTATTCAGAAGTAGCTTCTAAGGAGAGTTCACATTTGTAGCCAAGAGGAAGAAATGAGAGAGACCGGAAGGGTTAGAGGTTAACACGATGCTAAAATATATCATACAATTACAATAGTACCTCGGGTTACAGACACTTCAGGTTACAGATGATTCAGATTCAGACACTTCAGGTTACAGACTCCGCTAACGAAATAGTACCTCGGGTTAAGAACTTTGATTCAGAATGAGAACTAAAATCACACGCTGGTGGCGCGATGACTGCAGGAGGCCTCATTAGCTAAAGTGGTACCTCAGGTTAAGAACAGTTTTAGGTTAAGAACGGACCTCCAGAACGAATGAAGTTCTTAACCCAAGGTACCACTGTATCCCTCAACTCAGTCTGCAACATCCTGTTTGCCCTCCTCAGGAACTGGATCTCATATTTTGCTAATTATTTCATGACCCCCCTCCGCCAAGTTAGCAATGGGCCTTTATACAAATGTTATAAGGACACAAAAAGCTAAACATCCAGATTGCATTTTCATATCTTCGAGGCATAATGAGATGGAGTGTGGGAATGCTTGGAAAGGGGGAGAAAAAGTTATTTGTTTGTTACTTAATTACTGAAATGAGAGCTGTTGAGGCCTCATGTGTCTGCAAGTCAAATCCTTTAATCTTGAAACCCATCTTCCAATAATAGGTAGGCAGGTGAGTGAAGTTACTGTGAAGTTAGGGGAAGGCACTCTGCACATGCCCAGGTTCTATCACACATTCCAGCCTGACAAGAGACACTCAAGGAGGGTTATGGAGCAGGGCTGGTGAAGGAGAATAGCTTTGGGTGAGTCCCGAGGGCCAGACAGACAGACCTGGAGGTCCATATTTGGCCTTTGGGCTTGAGCTGTTCCACCCTGGCCTGCAACTCTGTGATTCCATATCTGATTAGTTACCATCACAACTGCCCAATGCACATCCACAGAGGGGTGAAAATCCAGGTGTATTCTGGGTTCGGTGTCTGCAGAAGATGTACAAAGGTTAGAGCCTGCTGAATCAGGCCAATGGCCCATCGAGTCCAGCATCCTGTTCTCACTGTGGCTTGTGGGAAACTGGCAAGCTTGACCTGGGCAGGAGAGCCCTCTCTCCTCCTGTGATTTACAGCAACTGGTATTAAGAAGAACTACGCTCTCTGTGGAGACAGAGCAAAACCATCACGGCTGGTAGCCATGTAAGATCCCTATTTGTCTTAGATAATATTTTACTGATTTATTTTTTAAATAGCACCACCATCCATCCCATCAGCAAAGTGCTCTCTCCCCCATAGATGAATAATTATCAGATTCAGCAGGGGTCAGGGGTCTACACTCTTAGTGAAGGGGATTTTGGCCAGAGCTGCTTGGCATGGCAATGTTACAAGACCAAGAGAAGATGGCAAAGCTCCCTCTTGCCCAACTGTTAAGAGGCAGAAGAACTATAATAATTATTAATAACAATTGTATTATTCATGTCCCATCCACTCTAGAATCTGTTCCACTGCTTACCTTAAAGTTGGCACTCCTATCCTAAGTCCCATAGCTGGCAGCTTGCCTGTTGAGCAATGAATGGGACTTGGGTCATATCCACACCAAACATTTATCTGTCATTTATTACATTTATATCTCCTCCTGAGAGCTCACGGAGGCCCACAGAATTCTCCTCCCCATTTTACTCTGCCAACAACTCTGTGAGGAAGGTTAGGCTGAGAAAGTGTCTGCCTGGTCCAGCAGGCTTCACGATGGAGAGGATTTGAACCCGGGTCTCCCAGGTCCTACTCCAGCACTCTAAGCACCACAGCACACTGGCTCTTTAAAGCACTATAATACCACTTTAACGGCCATGGCTTCACTCACTCACTCAAGGCATCCTGGGAACTGTAGTTTGTTAGGGGGTCACATAACAAGTCCCAGCACCCTTATTTCCCTCACAGAGCTTCCATTTCCCATTGCTCCAGGAAAGGGGATTGTTAAAGCACTCTGGGGATTTTGATTCCGTGAAGGGAACAGGGGTCTCCTAACAATTCTCAGCACCCCTAACAAACTACACTTCCCGGGATGCAGTGGGGGAAGCCATGATTGACAAAGAAGTGTTTTAAATGTATGGCGCAGATACCCTTAACTCATAGTCACATGTTCTACACAAGGAATCATCCACAAATAAAATGAACTATGACTGCAAGAAGATCAAACCTATCCATTCTTAGGGAAATCAGCCCTGAGTGCTCACTGGAGAGACAGTTCCTGAAGCTGAGGCTCCAAGACTTTGGCCACCTCCTGAGAAGAGAAGACTCCCTGGAAAAGACCCTGATGTTGGGAAAGATGGAGGGCACAAGAAGGGGACGGCAGAGGACGAGATGGTTGGACAGTGTTCTCGAAGCTACCAGCATGAGTTGGACCAAACTGCGGGAGGCAGTGGAAGACAGGAGTGCCTGGCGTGCTCTGGTCCAGGGGGTCACGAAGAGTCGGACATGACTAAACAACTAAACAACAACAAAGCAGATGTGGACTTATTGTGGGGGTGACTGCAGTTAGCACTGGCGTGCAAGACTGAGAATAACTTGTGCACAGCCAACCCGGGGGGGCGGGCAAGACTTTGATGTTCAGCCACTCTAGGTCAAAGACCCACTTTCTTTTAGAAATTTGACCTCGTAAGCTTATTTTTAGCTTCCACCAAACAGGTGCCTTCAACCCCTAACCCAGTGACCCTATTTTCGTTTTAATTCTCAAAAATAACTTCTCCCCGCCACCCCCAAGCTAGGTACGGCAACAAGGGAGAAAGGCAGCAGGAAGTGGAAACTATGTCAACCCTCTAAATGGGTCAAAGCCAACCAGCTCACTTCCATGACGTCAGAAGCGCGTGGGTTTTTCTGGGTCAGCGTTTGAAGCTCACCCCACAGAAACCGCTTCCTCTCGAAAACAAGGGTTGTTTTCCAGAGAGGTGGGGAGCTTCAAAGAGATGGCACGTGGCAGGGCTTGAGCGGGTAGCCAGGGAGGCGGAGAAAACGTTAGACCGCAAGCGCAGGGTGCAAGGTGCTGCGTGCAGTCAAGATGGAGGCTGCAGGTGCAAAGTGGGGGGGGGGGGTGAGAAGCAGAGAATAGCTAAGTATATCACCACTCAAGGAGTCTGCAAGGTCTAAGAATAACTTCGCCGCTGCTTTAGTTGTGGGCAGGTTGGAAATGAAATCTGGGGCAACTGAAGACCTCCAACACCCTCTTTGAATGGGAGAGTCTGCCAGAGTCAAATCTGAATACTTTTATTTATTAAGGCACCTATATATTACCTATCATGCCTCCACTTCAAGGCAACACACATTAACGCATGGGTAGGCAAACTAAGGCCCGGGGGCCAGATCCAGCCCAATCGCCTTCTCAATCCGGACCGCGGACGGTCCGGGAATCAGCATGTTTTTACATGAGTAGAATGTGTCCTTTTATTTAAAATGCCTCTCTGGGTTATTTGTGGAGCCTGCCTTGTGTTTTCACAGGAGCAGAATGTGTGCTTTTATTTAAAATGCATCTCTGGGTTATTTGTGGGACATAGGAATTTGTCCCCCCCCTCCAAAAAAAAAATAGTCTGCCCCCCCCCCAAGGTCTGAGGTACAGTGGGCCAGCCCCCTGCTGAAAAAGTTTGCTGAGTCCTATGATTAATAGGCAAGATGCAAAAATGAAATCAAACCTAAACAGACCAGCTGGTAGGAATACTTTTTTCGTCACTCCCAGGTCTATCAACTTGGACAGCTTTAAGAGGACTGGACAGATATATGGAGAACCTAGCAATGCCTACCAGCCACGATGGCTATATTCTGAGGGTCTGGTGCAGTATAGCTTCTGAATACGTTGCTGTAAAGAGCAGAAGGGTTCATCTTGTGCTCAGGTCCTGCTTGCTGGATTCCCAGAAGCATCCAATTGGCCACTGAGAGAAGGGGATGCTAAACTAGATGGGACGTTGACCCGATCCAGGCTCTTCCTATGTTTATGTTCTTAATACTTAAAATGCAACAGCAGCCAGCATCAAAAGCCAGCAAAGGACGTGGTGAACAGGATCATTATTTTTTTTTAAAGTATGCACTCAAATTATATCTGCTGGTGCATGCCAGACTGTAGGGGTTTGGGGAGGAAGGAGGGCCATTCCAGAGTGTGAGCATCAATACAGAAGACACTCTTTGTGGTGGTTGCTAGATGGACATCTGCAGGCTGTGGCACAAGGATGGTCTCTGATCTCTATGACAATCTATGCTGCCTCCCAGGTAACCTAGGCCCAAGCAGTTCAGGTCCTTGAAACCTAAATCTAGCCCAGTATCAAACAAGTTATCAGTGCAGGTTCTTTAGTGATGCTGTTAATAGTCACTCGGTTGCCTCTCTATCCACGTACCAAATATCCAGTTCTGTCCATGCAGTCACTAAAGCCCAAGTGAAATAGGTGCAGATTTCCCAGCTACATATGGTGGGAAGTGTTATTTGGTAGACAGTGGAAAGATACAGAAGTGTTTATGAAACATGGGTTTTCCTTCCTGCAGTTCTGATATTGGCTAAGGCACCAACTATTGGCAACAGTTGTGTTCATCAAGATCAGACTGAGGTTCTATCTGTCCCCAGATTCTCTTTTCCAAGTGGTCAGCCATTTCAGGGAAATAAAGCCAAAAGTGATCCCCTGCTATCTGCCCCCAGCTTTGAGAGTATTCAGAATTATGCTACCTCTGTACAGAAGAGATTCCACCTCTGTTGAGGAGTGGATAATGAAAAGCTATTAGCAGACCTATCTACCTACTAGTTCATCTAGATACTGCTGGGAGACATCTACACCAATAACCATTTATAGATGGGATATAAGAGTTTGTACCCTATTTTCACTTCTTTGACATTTGTTTTGCATAGTATCTACTGGTCCTGGGACTGGTAAGGCACTATGTAGGCCCATCAAGCCATACTCACTAGTTACTAAGAATCCCATTGAACCCAACAGCTATTGAGATTTCAGTCATAATTGCTTACATTTTTGAGCATGCTGAATTTATGTATCACTTCCCACAACACCAAGTCCCAATTGCAGCTTTTGGGGACTTCTGGTCAAGATGGTGAAAAGCTGCAATTAAGATGGCTAGTGGCCTGTCTTGAGCAACAGACTGATAATTTTTTATATTCCTCCACACATACACACACTTACCAGAGAGGGAGAACCCACATCTAAACATCATTGGTTTCCTTTACAAGTATAGATCACTGAGCACACAACTCCAAACTGTAAACTGGCCCAAACCAGTCAACTAAGTCAAGGGAGGAAGTCATATGACAAAGTTGTACAAATCTAGCATATAAATGAGAAATAAGAGCCAAAAGCTTGTGTCAATTGGGATGCGTAAATTCTAATATGCCATCCTTGCGTGCATATCCAAGGTGTCATGTTCCTATTGAGACTGTAGCATGTAGTCAGATGGGTGTTTTATGAATTCTGAATTACTGATGTAAATACAGTTGTGCAAATGCCCATTTACTCTAGTCTGGGAAGGTAGGTTTTTCAAGGCTGCTGGATCCAGACTTAAACATGGGCAAGCAAAAAAGTTATGGGCATTGGTGGAATTGTGCTGTCTTGAACTGTGGAAGATTTGTTTTGTTTCCTACAGATCTTAAAGTATATTAAGGCAATGCTTTTTTCTTTTAAAAATGTTTAGGGGTACTCTCATTTTTGACTCAAGAAAATCACCATTTTATAGTTCAAATCAGGAAAAATACATGCATTAAATGAACAAAAGGACAAAGATTCACAAAATGTTTAGGGGTATGCGTATCCCTGCATTCCCCCCAGAAAAAAAGCACTGCTTTAAGGACTTCTTCTAAATCTACCCTCCCAGTTAACATGAGGTTTGAAGATGCACTTCACAGAATCATACACAAGATGGCAGCAAAAGACAGTGAAAGAGAAAAATATTGCAAGAATTGGTGAGTAAGAAGTTCCTTATCATCTGGGCCCATGTTGGATTTGAGGATTTGGCTCTGTATTCTCTCTCTCTCTCTCCTGCCACACAAACCTTTCCATTCCAATCATCCTAGTTATAAGGAATCATTATCTTGTTAGTTCAGTTTAGCAGAGTTCAGATGATGCCCTGTACTCAAAGGTTCCTGGACTGCATCTTACTCACAGGCTTGTCATTTAGTCCACGGTCTGGAAGCAGCTGGTGTGGAGAAGCAGCACCTCAGGAACACGTTTGTACTAAATGATAGAATCATAGAATCATAGAATCATAGAGTTGGAAGAGACCACAAGGGCCATCGAGTCCAACCCCCTGCCAAGCAGGAAACACCATCAGAGCACTCCTGACATATGGTTGTCAAGCCTCTGCTTAAAGACCTCCAAAGAAGGAGACTCCACCACACTCCTTGGCAGCAAATTCCACTGTCGAACAGCTCTTACTGTCAGGAAGTTCTTCCTAATGTTTAGGTGGAATCTTCTTTCTTGTAGTTTGGTTGTAGTTTGATAGTTTGGTTTAAGCTATGGTTTAATGTGGCATGCGAACTATGCCACACACTGCCACAGTGTGATTTTTGTTTAAATCAGTAGGGCTCAAATGACAGAAACAGAGTCCTGGATTAAGGTAATACTTAGCCTGCTAAGGTTAGGTAACACAGACGTTTTAGGATAGGCTATTTATCACAAGGAGTGATCTCCAAAAGAACAATACTCCAATAGGTTCTCCAAGATGCCCTTCATGGGTTTAAAGACACAGGAGAAGGATCTCACCCCAAAGCTCATCAAGGCAGGCCCTCTTCTCCACTTATCACCGAGAGTTAAGATACATGAAATGTAAGAAAAGAGGTTTATTGAAAATCATAGAAAGTGAAGGCAATGGCCATATGTTTCAGGGAACATTCCCTACTGCCACCAGGGAACTTATTCAGAGTCTGTGATGTGTGGTGTGATGCCTGTTCAGTGGAATGCTGGGTTTTCAGCAAACAAGACAAATCCAGGACCTACAAGAAGGAAAGAAAAAAGTGAAGAGTTTTTAACATGGAAATTGCAAGAAATTGAGGACTTATATTGTATACCAAACACACTGTGTTGCAAATGAAACACACATACAAGTCAAATACTATCAGTCTCAACGTCAAACTGGAATTTTAAATGATTGGTAGCCACTAAACTCAGCCACATGCTAATCTTCTCTTTGGTGAAAAGCCCACCCCATGCTCAGACTCATAATGACTTATCACCTTTTCAGTTAGTGCACAGGAATAGTGCTTTACAATCAAGAGTATAAAACTAAAGTTATGCCAGACGTCCACACTGCACACACAAGTATTTATTTATAGGTAACACAAAATTGTGTGTGTGTGTGTGTGTGTGTACATTCACAAATATGGACTTCTAACATTGGTTCAGTGTGAAAGGCTTTACTCCAAGAACACCATCAAGCTGTAACATCACTGACTCAAGATAAATTCAAGACAATATTCCAGGGGATTCTCTAAGATGTTCACAAGCTGAAAAGACACAGAAGGAGAGGATCTCACCCCAGGCCCCACTAAAGCAGACCCTCTTCTCTACCCATCATTGAGACTCTCTGACTTTATTTGTATAATGAGGTTCAGCTGTAAGAAGTCATGATAGGAATGAAAACTATACCAAAGTAGTAGAGAATACTCAGGGCACTTCTAAGCCTTTTTTCTAGCCTACACTAGTACACAATTTCTAAGTGCTAAGTCTTGAATCTTACCTGGGAAATCTACCACCTAAATAAGAGATCAATGTAAGGATGGCATCAGCCAATATTTTGACTACCAAGTCTTCCCTTCTAAAATCATATACCCCGACCAGGTATACATACCTCCAAGTCTTCTGTATCAGCCCACAAAGTTGATGACTACAAGATGCAGGATAGTGCTGGCAAAGAGGAAGTCAGCAAAGGCTCGCTCCGGTGAGATCCCCTGAAATTCTCCTTTGTTCTGTGGGTTGATCTGGATCCTCAAACAAACTTGAGAGGGACAGAGAAGAAAAACCAAACTGTAATGGATTGCTGGAGGAAAATGCAGCACATCACACCAAACAGCGGAGCAAGCTTTAAAGAATGACCATAACCTCATACTCCCGATTTAAGAACCACAGAGTGAATCTGTGGATCCTTGCCATCAGTTATCTATTCTGGCAAGAACCTTTGCCCTTTTGAGTTTAGAAAAGAAATCTCCCAGACCTGCTTTTATAGTAGGAACAGTCATCACACATCACTCCCCTCCACCCTCTGGGCTCCAACATGTTTTCTAGGCAGGCAGGCAGGACCTGTACTTTGTAAAACACATCAGTGCTCTGAGATCCAGGTATTGCATTTTTGGATATCTAAGATGGAAGCTTCCTCCTGCACAATGCCGACGCTTCCATCACCGGTCAGAAATACATCCAGGGAAGGCAAGTGATGGGCAGTAGCATTCACACCATGTGCCCAGCACCCACTCTGCAGCAAGGCCAGGTAGGTGCCTTGGTGGGCATGGGAATGAGCCATTCTGGGCCCACTGGCACGTGTGCTGACCCCTAACGTTAGTCCTGGGGCTGAGTCACAACCATGACCATGGGGTAAGAGGCTCCAAATAGGGCGGCTCACTGGTCTGGATGAGACGCTTAACAGGAGGGATGGGAACTACCTCTCTTTCAAATCAGAACCAGTGAAGGCGGTGAAGGTCCTGTGTGAGTGTCTGGAGGCGGTTGGAGAATGGATGGCGGCTAACAGATTGATGTTGAATCCTGACAAGACATAAGTACTGTTTTGGGGAGACAGGAGGCGGGCGGGGGTGGAGGACTCCCTGGTCCTGAATGGGGTAACTGTGTCCCTGAAGGACCAGGTGTGCAGCCTGGGAGTCATTCTGGACTCGCAGCTGTCCATGGAGGCACAGGTCAATTCTGTGTCCAGGGCAGCTGTTTACCAGCTCCATCTGGTATGCAGGCTGAGACCGTATCTGCCAGCAGACTGTCTCGCCAGAGTGGTGCATGCTCTGGTTATCTCTTGCTTGGACTACTGCAATGCGCTCTACGTGGGGATACTTTTGAAGGTGACCTGGAAACTACAACTAATCCAGAATGCAGCAGCTAGACTGGTGACTGGGAGCGGCCATCGAGACCATATAACACCGGTCTTGAAATATCTGCATTGGCTCCCAGTACATTTCTGAGCACAATTCAAAGTGTTGATGCTGACCTTTAAAGCCCTAAACGGCCTCGGTCCTGCATACCTGAAGGAGCGTCTCCACCCCCATCATCCAGCCCGGACACTGAGGTCCAACTCCGAGGGCCTTCTGGCAGTTCCCTCCCTCCGAGAAGTGAGGTTACAGGGAACCAGTCAGAGGGCCTTCTCGGTAGTGGCGCCCGCCCTGTGGAATGCCCTTCCACCAAATGTCAAAGAGAACAACAACTACCAGACTTTTAGAAGACATCTGAAGGCAGCCCTGTTTAGGGAAGCTTTTAATGTTTGATGCATTACTGTATTTTAATATTTTGTTGGAAGCCGCCCAGAATGGCTTATTATTCTTATTACTACTCCTGCAGATGTTGTACGAGTCCCTAAAGCAACTGCTTATATTGGCAGGGGCTGGTGGGAGTTGTAGTCCTGCTTGAAGGAAGACCCAGAGGAGAGCATAGGTGGGAGTCACTAGCATAGCCCCCCACTCCCCTCCCACGCACTCTCCGCAGTTGCCATGGCAATTGTCATAACTCCGCCCTGTTCCTTGTCTCCATTAGCTGAACAGCGCCGTTCCCACGACGACGCAGAACCTTCGCGCCCCCCCCCCCACCATCCCGAGGCTAAGTTGCTACGTCACCATATGGAACCCCCGCGACGTTGCCATGGGAACATCCCCCCTCCCTCACGTAAAGACCGTTGGTAGGCTGACCCGGCGACCGTTGCACACGTCCCCCCTCACTTAAATTTAAAAAGCAACGGCTTCGCGTTCGAAGCTGCCAAGTCGAGGAGCGTCCTCACCGCCCAAGATGAAGCTCCCCACGGCGGAGATGAACCCCGACAGGAAGGAGTTGAAAGGGAAGGTGCCGACGCCGAGGCAGTAGCCGAACTGCAGCGCTCCCGTGAGCATGACGTAGAGCAGGTAGGCGTCCAGCACCTTCAGGCGGCTCGGCGTTCCGCTGCTGTACTCGGCTAGGAAGCGCCGCACTACCGAGCCCACCGAGCTCGCTCCGGCCCCGGACGACCCAGAAGCTGCGCCTGACATAGCGACGGAGAGGGTTTCGCACAACTTGAATTAAAGAAAAAATAAAAATGAGGTGGCCGGAAGCGGGTAAACGCTTCCCGTGTCAGTATGGGGCAAAGCGCATGCGCAGAGACGGTATAGTCCCTACTACGCATGCGTGTTGTGCATTTCGGTTGCCGAAAGGGCAATTCTAGAATGGGCTGATTCGTGCGCATGCGTTGTGCATGAGCGGCTGCAAGAGGGCAGCGCAGGCGCACAATCGGATTGGAAACCTTTTCCTGGTAGGCGCTGTCTATTGCGCATGTGTAGTACACTCATCCTTACACATAAGCTTTTGGTTCAAGGGAGAAGTTAAAAGAAAACAAGTCTTAAATTTAAAAAAATGAAAAGAGCAAAACTAGCAGCAGTAGTATGCTATTAAGGGTCTATTAATATGAGCTGCAGGCATCCGATTTAAGGAGAGAATTCAATGCGCATGCGTTTGTTCAACTGGCAGTTAAGAGAGGGTGTCATAGGTTACATGGCATGTTATTGCGCATGCGCAATCAGAACTCTCTGCTTCCAGCCTCACGGTAACGAAAGTAAACAGTCTTGGCTTTGCAAGCTGCAGCTTGAAAGGAAGGCGCTTTGCACACCATTATAGCTTCCCATTCCATAGCATGCCGCTTTCCACCCCATAATTAAACCCTCAAACTACTAACAGCAAAGACTACCCAATACCATTACAAATGCCCTATGCGGCCATTTCGAAATTACCTTAGAATTCGTGGTGGATGGAAGTAGCAGCCCTTAACTGAAAAAGAGGCAATGCCCCTCTGCTTGTGTTCAGAAACTCTCCCGGCCAACAACCCTGAGAACCATTTTTTAATGATGAGCCGGGAAAGAATAGTGGACATTTGATAAATGCAGAATACAATAATTTGCTAATGTCGCATCATAAGGGATGAAAGAAAAAAATGATTTCAATAAACGAATGCATGCAAGAAAGCATTGACACCGAAAACTAGTCCGGGGGTGCAGGATCGTAGACTGTCCTTTTTCCTCCTAACTGGGACCCACACTACGGACGCTTTTCCCTCCCAACACTTGCAAGTTCTCTTTTCGCTATTGCACAGAAAAAACTCCCCATTATTTCCCCCTTTTTCTAATCCTGCCCCTCCTCCCTGCAGCCATCAATCACCCCCGCTAGACTCCTCCCCTCTTTATGATGCCTCCGCCCACATCAGGGGGGAAAGAGCCCGCCCTCTTGTTCTCTCTTTCACTCCAATCTACCCGGCAAGCGGAGGGAGTCCAGGGAGGGCTGCTGCGCTCTCTTTTGGAGAATCCCTCCCGCCCCCCTTATATAACCCAGCAGGAAGGTTATACAACTGGCCTCACCCACACCTCCCCGCCAACCCCAAGCCATTCATAAAATATGAACCACGCCCCCAAGTTCTAGTTCCACCCCTTCCTTACGCACGCCTTTCCTCACCAGCTGTTGTGATGTTTTCCTTCTTGGGAAGTAATGGAGGAAGACCTTGAGCAGTCGTGAGTTCACTGTGGGATATTTCCGGGTCGCGGAGCCACTCAGTCATAGATTAATTTAATTTTGCTGCTTTAATACAGATCCTGGTTCTGGAGGGAAGGGGAGAGGGGATTAAGGTTTGAAACGGGGTGGTTGTTAATGTAGGCCCTACAGTGTACGGAGTTGTGCATTTCACTCGCTCCTACAGGTGGTTTCGGGTCCGATGTGCTTTGTTGTGTGGGTTGTTGGCTAAGCACTCTTTTGGCTCAGCACTTGGAAGGAGTTAAAGAGACCTGCTGATGGAAGCGTTGCTCTGGATTCTGCTGAGGGGGAAGGTGTTATGATCTGTCACCAAGATACCGTCCTTAGAAAGGGATGAGGCAGGCTGGGTTTGCAAAGAAGCTGGCAGGGGAAGAAGGAAGAAAAGGCAGACCAGAATCTGTATACGGCTTAAGGCTAAACCTGCCTTCTCTCCTAAGGCAAATGGGTGCTCAGGAGAAGCTAGGTGTGGTGGGCAGGCAAAAGACCCTCCCAATGGCAAGGGAGGAAGGATTTAACAGGGGAAGATACTGAGGGAATCAGGCCTGTGAGATGAAATTATAGCCTGCAAGCCAAGGGGAAGTATGTGAAAAGAATGAGGGGGATTAATTACCAGGATAACTTAACTTTCCCACCAAACCATAATTAAACTATGGAACTCGCTTCCACAGGAGGCAGAGATGACCACCAACTTAAATGGCTTTTAATCTCCTCCAAATTTGTGGAGGAGAGGGCTATCAAAGGCTACTAACCATAATAGCTTTGCTCTGCTTCCACAGAAATGCCAGTTGCTGTAAAACAAAAGAGGGGAGAGTCCTCTTGCTCTTGGGCCCTGCTTGTGGGTTTCCTACAAGCATCTGCTTGGCCAGCGTGAAATCCAGAATGCTGGACTAGATGGGGCATTGGCCCGATCTTACATTCATATAAATCTACTCCATGCCCCATGAACTGTTTTCTGCATTAGAATTTCTAGCTGGAATGTGTGAAGTCCAGACTGCATGTGAGCATGAATACAGTGCCCTCTCTGCCCTCTCTGCTAGTTAAGCATAACATCCCTCCCTCCCACATAGAACTAAGTAACAAGGCTTGCAGCATTTTAGGCAGAGTTTCAAGGTCTTGGCAAGAGACAGTTACTCATAATTCCAGAGGCAGTGATGATTAAGTTCTAAATGAGAGGTGCTGGAATTCAGAGTTAGTATGAAAACAGATATCTCTCTCTTCCAATCCTAGCTGGGTGGGGTGGGGCTATTCAGTGGTGAAGGGGAAAAAAATCCTCTGCATGTGTTCAGAGTTTCTTGCATCTTAATGTGGCTTTACATAGTCTGGGGTTAGGCGCTGGGTTCTTGAACTGATTTTGAAGGGGAGCAGTTGCCCAGGCAACAAGAGAGGCAAACCCCTCTGAACTCCAGATGCTGAAGAAATATCCTTTGTGCCCAGATACAATTATTAGCTGTGGTGCTATTGGAAGGAAGCAGACTTGCCCGGTTTAAGGAAAGACTTTGGAATGGCTACTAGTTTTACTTGGCCCTGCAATTAAACCCTTTCAGAATGTCTCTCTCTATGTAGGTCTGCACTGTCTCTAATTCAAGGTACCAGGTGGTTGTGAGTTGGAAGTGATTCAGCAGAAAAGGAGAGTGACTAGGCAATTTGTCTAGCTGTCCTTATCATTGCATCATAACAGTAGAGCCTTGTTCTCCCAAGCTTCCCCTCCACCCAGGACGAGGAAGGCAGCCAATGTCTTTTCAATGTAACCATTTTCCATTCCCACAAAGACTCTACAGGGGGTGTGAGTGGTGCTGTTTGGCAACTGACCCAGTGCTTGTGATGACTCTAAATGTGCTGATGTGTGCTATATGTTAGTTACAGAGTTGTTATCAACTTCCTTGGCTGAAGTTTGGAAAGGGAGGAACCTTAACTCTCCACTGCTTCTTTGCAAACTAAGCTCTCATAACTAGAATTTTGATAGTGGGGTTTATGTGGAAATCCAGGGGGCAGGAGCTGAAATGGCAGAAACTTAAATGCGAGTCCAGTAGTTTAATCTCTCCCCGCCCCCCGCTCCATCCATTGCAAACTGTTAAGAGAGGGAGGCAGGCAGGCAGGCACTGAAAACTGCCTATCTGATCACATGACTCTGGCTATAGGGGATCCTGTCACTCACAGGATCATGGAACGGACTCTGATACCACCATAAGGATAAAGTTCAGCATTTATGCAACATATTGGAAGTTTCATTGCAGGTTGGAATAGAGGGAGCTGCCTCATGCTGAGTCAGTCCATCTAGTGCAGTACAGGCATACAGTGGTGCCTCGCAAGACGAAATTAATCCGTTCCGCGAGAGTCTTCGTCTAGCGGTTTTTTCGTCTTGCGAAGCAACCCTATTAGCGGCTTAACGGATTAGCGCTATTAGCGGTTTAGCGGCTATTAAAGGCTTAAAGGCTTAGCGGATTAGCTGCTAAAAGGCTATTAAAGGCTATTAAAGGCTTAGCAGGTTAGATAAAGGGGGCGAAAAGTGAAAAAAAAATCTCAAGACTTGCAAGACATTTTCGTCTTGCGAAGCAAGCCCATAGGGAAATTCGTCCCCTTTCGTCTAGCGGTTTTTCCGTCTTGCGAGGCATTCGGCTTGCGGGGCACCACTGTACCTCGGAAGTCAAACACCTTGCAAGTCGAACGTTTAGGCTCCCGAATGCCACAAACCTCGAAGTGAGTGTTCCGGTTTGCAAACGTTCTGTGGAACCCGAACGTCCAACGCCAGTCGAAAGCCATGCCTTGGTTTCTAAACGTTTTGAACGGACTTCCAGAACGGATTCCGTTCGACTTCCGAGGTATGACTTTATTGTCTACACTGACCAGCAGCTACTTTCCAGGATTCCAGGCAAGGCCCTCTCCCCGGGACCTTCTGCATGCAAAGCAGGTGCTCTACCACTGAGTTAAAGACCTTCCCCACAAATTTGATGATGGTGTACACATTATTTCTTACAACAGTCCCACAGGCTTGGCCGGTATTATCTAATAGTGTTTTTATTCTAGAGTGTCAGGCTAGGACCAGGGAGACCCAGGTTTAATCCACACTCTGCTTTGACCGTCATGGGCTGCCATTCCCTAAGTGAAACAAAAAGATGCAAGTGGCTAGTCTTCAGGCTGTGGTGAAAACTCTGCATGGTTCAAAACTGAAAAGCACTGCTAGGATATTGGCAGGTTTTCAGTGATTTCGAGGATAGGTGTGTCAGTATCCTGCTGAACCTGTATTATCACCCTTGCAGTGAGAAAGGGAGGCTAAGGGAGAAGGTATTGCCTTTGGGCCACTAAGTGAGTTCAGGGCTGATTATTAAGCCCATTATTAAACGTATTTACTTAGGTATTAACTCACTTTGCCCTTAATGCGACCTAGGTTCATAATGTAGGGTGGCAGCCTTGTGGAATCACAGAATTGTAGAGTTGGAAAGAGACCACAAGAGTCATCTAGTCCAACCCCCTGCAATGCAGGAATCTCAACTAAAGCATCCAGGACAGAAGGCTATCTAACCTCTGCTTTGAAACTTCCATGTGGCCGCCCTTTCTGTTCATGTTCAGTATTTGTGTGTGGAGTTATTTGCATTGCATCAGCTCTCGCTTTCGGGAAGTGAAAGCTTTGCATTTTGCTGAGAAAAACAAGGTGGCCCATCAGGAGTGACGCCTAGAAACATGGTAGCATTTCCTCTGGGTGCTTTTTTGTGAAAATTTGAACATATCCTTTATCTTTGTGCTATAGAGACCCTAGTTATTCAAGGGCTTTTTCCTGCTCTTATCAAGTCACATTCTCCTCCAAAGATCACAGAGTTGCAAAAGTTTGCTATGGGAAACAGCTGTTTATCACTGACCCCTTTCAATGTCTTCCTTTTCCTTTCTTCTACCAACCCCTTTGCTCTCCCTTTCTGCCTGCCTCTGCCCACCCATGTCTCAACTAAACTATATCCCTTCCACAGGACCCAAGGCTGGCTAGGGGGCTGGCTGCCTGCCTGGCGTCCCACCTCCATGTCCCACCTCAAGAACGTGGAAGCTCGGATCCTGCAGTGTAAGTAAAGGAGGGCTTGCGGAGCGTCCTCTTTCTCCTTTGTCCAAAATAGAGACGCTAACTGATATCCTATAGGATCTGTCCAAAGACCCATCTTGTCCAGCATCCTGTTCTCACAGCAGCCACCCAGAGTCCTATGGGAAGCCCTGCAGGCAGAAACTCAACACAACAGCACACTCCCCTCTTGCAATTCCCAGCAACTCCCCTCTGACAGTGGAGGGAGAACAGAGTCATCAGGGTTGGTAGCCATTGATAACCTTGCCCACTAGGAATTTTGCCTGATCCTCTTTTGAAGCTGTCCTGAGTTGGCAGCCGTCGCAACCTCTGGTTGGGAATGATTTCCATGGTTTAATGATGTGCTGTAAGAAGAAGTGCTTTCTTTTGTTTGTCCCAAGTCCTCCAACATTCGTCTTCCTTGAATGGCCTCAAATTTAAGCCAAGACAGAGAGAGAGAAACTTTCCAGAGAAGTTGCCAGGAAAAAAATGCCATGGCTCCATAATAATCTTAGTTGGCAAATAACAATTGACGGGGGGAGTTTCTGTGGTTTAATTAAGATCCACCAAGAAGTGGAAGGGTTTTGTTTCTTACCTTGAACATCAGTTTTAGGGTATCTACACCTGGCACCCCAAGGCTCACTGTGGTTGCCTGCCCAGGGCTTCCCTGGTATTTGTTTTCCCCTGGCCCAGCACTCTTGAGCAAAGCCAGGTGATTGGGCCTAAGGTGCCATTTTTATTTGCCACAATGCTCCTCATGTACTTGTTTATGAGTTGCATTAGTCTTCCATTGCATTAGAAGTACAGTCAAACAATAGAACAAACAAGTAAAACCATTTCGAGCCAATTTTAAAAGCGGGTAAAAACACTTCCAAGCAAAAACAACTCGGTATAGATTTACCAGAGTAAAAGAGTTGGATCTCTTAACAATTGCCTAAAGAGGTGTGACTTCAGCATACATCGGAAGCTGTGTAATGAAGATCCTAGATGCACCTCTGTGGGGCAGGAGTTCCTCAGCTTATAGGTTACCACAGAGAGAGCCATTCCCCACACTTCTGAGCGTGGCTGTCAAGAGAGCCCTCTCTGTCAACGTACAGCGTATAATACCTGGTAGTATTGTGATCCTGAATATGAAGATTTCCCCCCTAGATCTTATTGCTCGTAACTAGAGCCACCGCCTGCTTAAAGAAATCTTGATTGCTTAATCAGGTGAGTTTTAATGGATCAATCAGTTTATACATGCATGCATTTGCACACAGACAAATGCTTTTTGGAGGAAGAAAAGCTTTCTTTTGTCTAAGCTTCTTGGGTAGAAGAAGCATTTAACGGAGTGGGGGTGAGAGAAAGTGGAATGCCTTTTCTAAAACGGATCTCTGCTGATTGTGATCTGATCTGAAAATTGCCATGGGCACCTTGCTAATCGGTCAGAAGGTTTTTGAAATGATTAGCCTAACTGATGAGTTGACGAAATCTTTTAGGTAGACCTTTTAGATAGACGAGATTTGTAAGCAGGGACCTGAAGACAACAACCATCTTTCTGGATGATTGGCCATGCTGGGTGGGACTGATGATAGTTGGAACCCACAGTTTCCCCTATATCCAGGGTACATCTTTCCTCCCATCCCATCAAATCCCTTTCTGCAGCTATTAGTGCTAGTGTGCCTCGCAACATCTGACAGAACCTGGGCCCTGTGGTATGTATTGGGGTTTTGGGGATCCTGGATAATAGATGCCCACCTTCCCCCTTCTCTCTTCCATCTTCAGGCCTCCAGAACCGATTTGTGGCCCGATACATCTCCCTCCCAAACCATGCCAAGATCTGGACCGTATCACTGTCTCCGGAAAGGGGCAAGGGGCGCACCCCCCTGGTGATGGTGCATGGCTTTGGTGGGGGCATCGGACTCTGGATCCTCAACCTAGACTCACTGAGCCAACGTCGCCCTCTCCACGCCTTCGACCTCCTGGGGTTTGGCCGCAGTTCCCGGCCCCCCTTTCCCCGGGATGCCCAGGGGGCCGAAGAGGAGTTTGTGAACTCCATTGAGGCCTGGCGTCGGGAGATGGGCATCCCCAGCATGATCTTGCTTGGCCATAGTCTTGGTGGCTTCCTGGCAGCCTCCTACAGCTTGCAGTATCCAGAGAGGTACGTTTTGTGGCTTTAGGCAGGGATGATGGGAATTGGACAGGTAGGTCTTACAGAAGTTCCAGAAAGATCCTAAGGCTAGGACAGCAGAGAGTCTGTAGTATTGTCATAATTTCTAGTGGAATAGACCTGCCAGTAATGCCTGTCTTTCTGCCCTTCCCATCTAAGTCAAGCATATAGATGTTATTAAGAAGCTGGCCTCCCTGGAGGTACTTAATTGGGTACCTATGTAGGCTCTTGGGATAAATGTTGGATGGTATATCCTTTGCTGTTTTGAACCATCTGAGCATTTAGGTGTGGGAAATCAGATACCCAACTAAGTATCATAAATGAATGATCCTCGTAAATAGAAAGCTAGTATATCAGAGAAAAGATCTTCCTAGCATGCTATTTTTCCAACATTATTATTATTATTATTTTATTATTATAAATAATTATTATTATTTATAATAATAAAATTATAAATTATTATTTATATATTATTATATATAATTATTATTATATATAATATTATTATTTTATTTATTTTATTTATTTTCTTTTTCTTTATTTTCTAAAGAATTATTATTTTCTTTAGCAGTCAGCTGGATTTGTGACCAGTGTTAGAAACTGAGATATGAAAACTAGGAGCTAAATGACACCATAAACCTGGGTTATGGACACAACAATGAAATGTCTAGGTGCTCTTTAAAATAAGAATACAAAGCTGAAAATGAATGAACTGCAGCTAAAATTTTATGCTCATTTTTGGTATGGTCTAGTCCTTCTCCTGCCCAGTCCTCTAATAATCTTAAGAGGGTCTCTTCTCCAGTCTTCAGAGAGCAGCTGAAAGTGGGGAAGCAGAAAAAGGTCCTCCTTTCATTTCATTCTGCAGTCTTAATCTGAAATCTTAGGTGAAGTACTCACCCAGAGCCCAGAAACGGCTCGTGCTAATGAAATTCCCGGTTACAAAATGTGCCTAGATTAAACAATGGAGATTTCGAACACTGTTTGTGAGTGGCCTCTGTGCGCATGTACCCTGAAGTAAATCCCACTGAGTTCAGCGGTGTAGGATTGTAGTCTTAGGCGGCTTTTCATGCCTCTCCTGACCCAGGGTGAAACATCTGATCCTCGTGGACCCCTGGGGCTTCCCCATGCGTCCGTCCGACCCGGCTCAGATCCGCGCCCCTCCAACCTGGATCAAGGCTGTGGCGACGGTGCTGGGACGGTCCAACCCTCTGGCTGTGCTTCGAGCTGCTGGGCCCTGGGGTGAGTGAAATTGGCAAGAAGATTAAACGGAGGGTGCCGGGAGAATAAGCAGCGGGATGTGCCAGAATTGTCACTTGTTCATAGTAGAAGTGGCCAAGCTTCTTATCCCTGTTGTTGAAAGTTGCTGAGGCGAGTGGGACCTGCAACAAAAATGTTATAGGTGAAATACTTCTGTCAGGGGTGACAGCCAGCCATACCCACTTTCATGATACTCCATTGCATTCCGTTCTCCCTGGTTTTCTGGATCCCGCACCCCAATTAGTTAGCATTCTGTTGCCACCGTAAATTCTCAGTCCTCATTGGGCTATTTTACTCTGCCTTTGATTATTTCTATTTTTCCTTAAAACATTTTTTATACTTCTGTAAATCTCGGGGTTTCCCCAAGCCTGTTGATAGCATGCATTTTGGCTACCTAAGTATCCATGCTCAAAGAATTCTGTTTTCTGGTATTTAAAAAAAGTGGATTCCCTTCCTGGAATACTTCATGCATCTGATGAAGTGGATTATCCATCACAAAAGCTTAAGCCATAGCACATTTATTGATCTTTAGGGTGCCACAAGGCACTCTTGTTCTGAGCTGTTTCTACCTCTCTTCCTGAATATTCCCAAATTGGGTGACCATAATATCTAATATTTAAACAAGTGGGAGAAAAGCTGTTTTCACTTTCTCCATTCCATGCAAACCTTCCTTTACTTATCTTTTTTTTCCTCCTTAAAAAGCAAACAATCCCAGAAGATCAGTCCCATAGATATTGGGGGGGGACGTTATCCTAAGTGCATATGGGTAGGTTGAGATTGCATGGATGACGAAAACATTTGCCTTAGGACGTGAATCTAGGACACCTAGTCCCATATCTCACACACTTGCAGGATGACCTCAAATGAGGCATCACCCACTTCCCTTAGCACTTCCATCTGTAAAATGGGCAGAGCTGTGTTTGGAGATAAACACGGAGAGGAAGCGGTTCTCACAGGAATCACTTGGGATGGCAGTTCTTTTGGAGATGTAAACCTTTTGAGATCTGCAGACCTACTCGTGGACCCTTGGCAAAGAGGAAGGCTGCTACCCAACTTGAAAAGAGAAATTCATTTATTGCTATGTTTTTATTTTTTATTGGAAGCTCAGGGAAAAGTTTGATGAGAACCTACTGACTGCATCCTCCACCCTTTCCTCCAGGGCCTGGGCTAGTGCAACGCTTCCGTCCAGACTTCAAGCAGAAGTTTGCCGATTTCTTTGATGACGATACCATCTCGGAGTACATCTACCACTGCAATGCCCAAACACCCAGGTGAGGGCCTCCACTATTTCATGTCCGCTGTCAGAGGCAGAATGCCTCGGAATACCAGCTGCTGTGGGGAATGTGCTGCAGTCCATGTTCCTGTAATTAACTCTACTGTGTTTCCATCCATGCGCTCCCTCATTGCAGTGGCGAGGCCGGGTTCAAGGCCATGTCGGAGGCGTTTGGTTGGGCCCGGCGCCCCATGTTGGAACGCATCCACCTGGTGCGCCGCGACTTGCCGATCACTCTCATTTACGGTGCCAATTCCTGGATTGATACCAGCACTGGGGAGAAGGTCAAGATCTTGCGGCCAGGGAGCTACGTCTGCGACATGGTAGGAACTTTGGCATGTAGAGATGGGGAGCATAGCATGATCGTAGCTGTCATTGCATTGGATGTTCCCAGTGTGGGAATAGAGGCCTAAGTGGAGAATCCTGTAGCCCAGCAGTTCTCAACCTGTAGGTCTCCACGATGTTGTTGGACTACAACTCCCATCATCCCTGAGCTCTGGCCTTCCTAGCTAGGGGTGATGGGAGTTGTAGTTCAACAACATCTGGGGACCCACAAGTTGAGAAAGGCTGCAGTCTAGCCTAAAATCCTCAGCATTTTTGCAATTCAGATTTCCCCATCCCTATGACTTAGGGGGAAAACGTGGCCAAATTCTAGTGACAGTCAGGAGCTAAAGAGGACTGAGCATAGAGGGTAGGAGAGTTAGAATTCCACTTTTTCAACATACGTGCATAGGAGAATGAATCAGTGGTACCCTGGCTCTGGGCCTCCCTCCCACCCATAATCAGGCACTGGAATCCTTCTGCATAGTGATTTCTCCCCATTCAGTGACATATGACGTTTTAACTTCTTCAGCTGCCCTGAAGACCTTGTGGTCAAAAAGCCAGCTAGAAGCACTTCTGATGTGTAACTCCAAAATGGTTTTGCTCGAGGCATCTCAGTAGAGCACTTTGGTGTGTCAGGGTTGGTTGGGGACTGCAGGGAAGCTGTCCTGTTTCATATCAGTCAGATATGCAGGGCCCTAAGCTCGACTCATGCACAGTGAGGCAGTCCATGAGTGGACCAATAGCAGCATCATAAGGGAAGACCAACGTCACACACAGCAGAGCAGGCCAAAGGCAGTCAGGCTTCAAAAGTGCAGAGGTATTCACAGGGGTCAGTAGCACAAGAGTGGAACAGGAAGCCAGTTGCACACAGCTAAGGAGCTGTGGTGTTAAGCAATAAACCCTCCGGGTCCGAGTGCTCATGTAGGCTGAAGGCCCTGACTCAGGTGCAAATGGTTAGCCCAGACTTCAAGCTTTATTGCTTTCAATGAGACACCTTGTTCTTGAAGGCCCCTTATTCAAGGGGAGGTTGGTTCTTCTGGACCTTTTTTTAAATTTCACATTCTTTATTGAAAAGAAGAAGTACATACAGTCATACCTTGGTTCTTGAACGCCTTGGTATTCGTATGTTTTGGCTCCCGAACGCCCCAAACCTGGAAGTAAGTGTTCCGGTTTTTGAACGTTTTTCGTAAGCCATATGTCCGATGCGGCTTCTGCTTGAGTGCAGGAAGCTCCTGCAGCTAATTGGAAGCCTCACCTTGGTTTTTGAATGTTTCGGAAGCCAAACGGACTATGTCCAAGAACCAAGGTACGACTGTAATTACAAGTGCACAAAGTAAGATGATACACAAAAAAGAAAAAGAAAAAGAAACAGCACCCCTGTAGAAAACAAAAAAACAGAACCAAAAAAGAAAAATAAGAAAGTTTATTATTGTAGTTAACCACAGCTTAACCTAAGTATTTATAAAAATGAATTCCAAATATTGTTAAATTTGTCCATGGCGAGTCCGCGTCTGTACGCAACTTGTACCTCTGGACTTTGAGGGGCATGCTTTGTTGATGGGTGGTTGCCTGAGGCTGGGGCGTATTTCTGTCTCCCCTTCTGATTCTCCCCCGTGCCCTCAGGCTATTCCGGGTGCCTCCCACCACGTCTATGCCGACCAACCCCATGCCTTCAACGCTGCTGTGGCAGAGATCTGCGACTCTGTTGACTGACCGCCCGTGACCCAGAAGAGCTGGTGCGACGCACACAAGACACACAACGCACATGCAAGACATCGCTCGTGCGCCCCGAGAAGCGGGGACGCCAGCTCCTCAAGATGGCCGCAAGCTGATCTTGGAGGATACTTGCTCCCTTCCCCTCCTTCCCAGATTTGTCCCTGAATCTTCATTCTAACTTAAAGGTTGCAGGCCGCCTGCTTTGGGTTAATCGAAGCTCCAATCATTTTATTTTCCCCTAATTTCATGTGCCTCCTGGTGTGCTTTATCCTGCCTCCCTCCTCCAAGACATTCCTCTTTCTGTGCTGCAACAGGACTGTCCTCCTCTGCTACCTCACCCACTTTTCTGACCCCCTTGGCTGTTGGTTCTTCCCATTCATTTTGTTTTTGCAATGCCATCCACAATATTTGCATGCTGGAAAGCTTTTTTTTTTTTTTAAAAAAAAGAAAAAATATTTTCTGTTGCAACCACTGATGTCACACTGGGGTAACATTTGCTTATACCTGCACTCTCTCTCAGGCCAGTGGTTAAATGTGGAGACTGTTTTTCTCCCTGCCAGAGATGCTATTGCTGATCTGGTCAGTCAAGGCTACTTGGTTTATAAAGCTGGAGGGAATATGATTATATTTCCCTTTGGCAGATGCCACTTTTAACCTCACCTAAATCAAGAAGACAGCCAGGATTGGAGGGGAATTGGGATATGTGTTCCTATTGCCCCTTTCTCTTTAAGGCGGCGCCGTTCTGTACCGATATCCACTTGAATTGTCATTGGCTGTGGGAGAGGGCTGTGGTCATGTCTGCTCACCAATGGGAGAGCACGATCAGGGTGTGCACATCAAGGGAATCTGAGCCCTTCGTGGGCTGCCATGCGATGCTCCAGGCACAATGCAAAGACAGCAACTTGAGGCAGTCCTAAATCAGGACAGTATAATGAGTTTGGGAAGCGGGGATGCGGCTAAGACCTCTAGCCACATCAGATGGGATCAAGAAATCGGGGGGGGGGGCAGTTGTTGCTTGAGCATGATTTGCTGGCCCTACTACATCCTCTCTGATGCTAGGGGAGAATCAGATCACTAGAACAAGGAAACAATAGGTTGTCCTTCTAAAGGAAGACCTTTTTAGCACTTTTGTGGCAGGGAGGGGAGGCTGAAAACAGCCCAGCACCCTCCATCAAACACAGAGCAGGCCAGTATTTGAAGCTGTTTGTATTCCTCGGCCACAACCATTTCTGCAATCTCATGGTATTCACAAATTCTGTTTTTGCCGTTTGTGAATTGGCCTTTTTTTTATTTATTTTTTGCAGGGGCAGAGGAATTTAATATTTTAAGAAAGCTTGAGAATCCTGACATAACCTCAGAAGTGTTCGGTTTATGTACCGTTGTCCAATTCCGGACGGCAGCAGTCAAAAATTGCCTAGAGAGGGAGAGAGAGCGAGCAAGCACGGTTGGCTTTCACAGCGCAAGGGTTTTGGGAATCGCTCCTGCTCTGCTCTCTCACTTGCCCCACCTAGTGGCGCAGGTTGGCACCTAGTGGCGCAGGTTGTGTGACCATTTACCCCATGAGATGGGTTCCTGCCTGCAAAAGATGCTCCTTTCTTTCAGACACTTACACGTCCACAATCCCTACTAACTGCCATCTTGGTGGGAGGGCAGGAAAGAACCCCATGTTGCCTGCTTTCCTCTTCCTTTTCTATTTTTGCTGAGATGTTAGCTGTCTCGAACTCGCCCCCAACTCCCCTGCTGCATGAGGCAATGGCTGAGGTGGGGGAGATGCACTTACTGAAAGGGCAAAAATAAAAGAATCTATCCCGTCTCCTTAGGCCCATTGGGAGCTGTGGCCTTCTAGTAGCGCATGCGTGTGTAACCTGCTCGGTGGTGCCATGTTAACGTTATCTGTGGGAGGTTGTTCCTAATCGCCTGCCGGTGCTTTGTATAGAATTCACCTCGGTTTGTACTAAATTTTGTATGTTTAGTAAAGTAAAACAAAAGTGTTGTTTTGAAAGAGGCCGTGTCATTTCTCTGCGTTTCCTCGCACCCCTTTTCTTTACCGTTCCTTCATGCCCCATGTTTTTCTGAGGCATGAGCCATTTCCCTCATGGACCGCATGCCCGTGGTGGGCGGGGCTTTAGGCAAAAGTGGGAGGGGCAAAGGATGCAACACTTAGGATTGTGGAGCAGGCTTGCATCCCAGCCTTGCAAAATTCGGAGGTTTATCAAAGTACATCCTGAAATGGACCGCTCAGTCAGTAGAGTGTGAGATTCTTAATCTCAGGGTTGTGGGTTCGAGCCCCATATCGGGTGGAAGATTCCTGCATTGCAGGGGTTGGACTAGATGATCCTTGTGGTCCCTTCCAATTCTATGATTGTATGATCCAGGCACATTTTTCCACGCAGGCAGGCCAGAGGCATTATTGAAGTCAAGAACACACTTCAGCCAAGAAGTAGCATTTGAAGCTGAAGAGTGGGGGGTGGTGAGAGGGGGGCGTGTCCTGGGCACAGAGTCCTGAGAGTTTGATAGAAGGAGCAGGTTCATAGCTTGGGGATCCTTCTGGATCCTTTGCTGTTTCTTGAGGCTCAGATGGCCCAGTGTGCCTTTCATCAGCTTCAGCTGGTGGCCCAGCTACGCCCCTATCTGGACAGGAATAGCCTAACTACTGTTGTCTATGCTGTGGTAACTTCAAGGTTAGATTACTTCAATGTGTTATACGTAGGGCAGCCTCTGAAGACGGTTCAGAAACTTCAGCTAGTGCAGAATTCAGTGGCCAGGTTGCTCACCATGTAGCCTTATTGGAATTCACCGATTGGGTCAGCGTTGCTCCGGGACAGGAGGAAGGAAGTCAAAATGACACCGAGGTTGGTTCAAAGAAAGAGTTTATTCTGCTCTCCGGATAGCAGAAGGCACCTGCGTGGTGAGTCCACAGCAAGTACAAAGAAATGACAGGTTTCATGCAGTTTATATATCCTCCAGGCACCCTCTCACTCCTCCCCTAGGAGCCCAACCACATCGGCCTACGTACACAGGTTGACATCACATATGTTCCTGCTCTGGTACTCTCAACCATAAAAGGATCTTCCTCTTCCTACTCTTATCTGGGACGCAGGAGGTCACTACTTCTGAGAACATGCTCTGGCGTTAGTCCCAGACTTGGGTCTCTGCGTCATTTGTGGTCAGGACATAAGATATGTCTGTGTCTGTTCTACCGGTAAAGTCAAGGCCAGTCTTGCCGTCAAACTGATAAGTGAGAGAGCTGTGTTCTTGTTTTGCATTTGCTCAACGGCTAAAGTTTATGCATTTTAGCTAAGGAGAAATGGGGATTTTGGTGCAGTTTAAAAACTGCCTGCACAGTCAGTTTTGGGTTTTGGAAACCCATTCCTTCAACCAGAGCAAGATGGTTTGAGCATATTACTCTGATCCTGCTCCAACTGCACTGGCGACCAGTTAGTTTCGGGGCCCAATTCATAGTGCTGGTTTTGACACAGAAAGCCTTAAATGGCTCAGGACCGCAATACCTCAAGGACCTTTTCCCATATGAACCTACCCGGACCCTGAGATCATCTTCCAAGGCCCTCATTCATGTGCCTCCTCTTCGAGAGGTCTGGAGGGTGGCAACATGAGAACAGGCCTTCTCTGCAGTGGCTCCCCATCCGTGGAATGCTCTCCCCAGGGAAGTTCACCTGGCACCTTTATTATACAGCTTTAGGCGCCACGCCAAAACGTTCCTTTTTAACCAGGCCTTTGGTTGATCTTACTGACATCCAACACCCTTTTAGAATGTGGCTTGAGGGGGATGTATTGGGTTATTGCTTTTGGTTTTATTTTACATGTTGTGGTCTTGTTGTGAACCACTCTGAGACCTCCAGGTATAGGGCGCTGTATAAGTTGAATTATTAATAATAATAATAATAATAGGGACGTGGGTGGCGCTGTGGTCTAAACCACAGCGCCTAGGGCTTGCCAATCAGAAGGTTGGCGGTTCAAATCCCCGCGACGGGGTGAGCTCCCGTTGCTGGGTCCCTGCTCCTGCCAACCTAGCAGTTCGAAAGCACGTCAAAGTGCAAGTAGATAAATAGATACCGCTCCAGCGGGAAGGTAAATAGTGTTTCCATGAGCTGCTCTGGTTCGCCAGAAGCAGCTTAGTTATGCTGGCCACATGACCTGGAAGCTGTATGCCGGCTCCCTCAGCCAATAAAGCAAGATGAGCACCGCAATCCCAGAGTCGTCTGCAACTGGACATAACGATCAGGGGTCCCTTTACCTAATAATAATAATAATAATAATTAATAATTTAATAAAGAGGTCTAGAGTTTGAACCTCCCTGTGTACAGGCACCAGTAGGTCGCATCACATTGGAAGAGACTCACATGGGTTCAGGTAAGAAACATTGAATGCTTGACAATGGACGGGTTATGATCAGTTGCAGATTGACTTGGGCACTGCTCAGTGAACAGGGAGAGGAAGGGATCTGCAGTCAAAAGACACAGGAAAAGCAGCATTCAATGCATATTTGAGTTTAAAATGTGAACATAGCCTGAGAAACTTAAGCACCACCTGAAAGTACAGAGGAGTAAAGCTGAACTCTGCTGCCATCTGGTGGACTTCAATAAGCAACGTCTGAGACCGCTTATTTCTGTTAAATGTGATTTTTTTTTATTTGATTTTTTTTGGCGGGAGGTAGAATACTTATGGCTTCTCAACACATGAGAATGTACACTCCATATTTCGAGCCACGGATTTCAAACTGTAGGAAACTAGCTTTAAAAATGTCCAGTTATCCTCAAGGGGGGGGGTTGCTAAATCTGGTTTTGTTGTGACTTAGGATGCCAGAAATGAAGGAGGCCAAGGCCTGTGGCATGGAGGCACATGATGCAACCCATTTGCTGAAGCTAAGCAGGTCTAGGCCTGGTCAGTGTTTGGAAGGGAGACCTCCTGTCCCCATGCACATCACTTAAGAGTTGCATGATGAAGGAAATATGAGGTGTGAATGAAAAATAAGTAAAACAAACAAGTCTCTGTGCACTGTTACCCTAAGTAGTAGTTCCATTTCTCTTTCACTGCTAGCCCCTTCCAGCTCCTCTCTTTGCATAATCCCTGGCCATTGGCCATGCTAACTGGCGATGATGGGAGTTGCAGTCCAACTATAACTAGAGGACCTTACGTTGGTCTGGAGGGAGGAATCTTCCCTATTCGGTCTGCCATTCTGCCTTGGAAGAGAAAGTCTCATTCAAAGGTACAAGCTGGGATCCCAAGGCCCAGGTTGTGTCTAGAGGGAAAAAGCGAATTTGGGCATTGATCATGTGCAGCATATTTCAGGGGTACTATTCCTAGTGATATCTAATGTCACTCCCTTCTTGTCATCCAAAGCTGTGCTGCTGCTGCTGCTTTCACCTTTTATTCTTCCCATTCTAGATCCTCTGCTGCCATCCAGCGGCCATCTTGTGGACACACAGCTTTCGTTTCTTCCGCGTTTCCTCTGGAGTGACAATAGCATTTAGCCTTGTTTGGTTGTGCGTTTATATTCCTCCACAGACTTCAAGGGGTGTACCGGTTCTCCCCCTCATTTTGTCACCACAATACAGTGGTACCTCGGGTTAAGTACTTAATTCATTCCGGAGGTCCGTTCTTAACCTGAAACTTTTCTTAACCTGAGGTACCACTTTAGCTAATGGGGCCTCCCGCTGTCGCCGCACTGCCAGCGCACATCCTTGAATTGATATGGGGGCAGATCCAGATCAGGCATGGTTTTACTTGGGTTGTGGCCCTGTTCACAACCCTTATAGATATTGCAGAGATTGTGTGCATGGTTCCTCTGTGATTTCACCTTTGCATTGTGAGGTCAGGTGGGGTCTTGAAGCCACCAGAGCAGCATGGGAAGGGCTCCTTTCATTCCACATAGCAAAAGCCACGGCAGAGCTTCCGTCCCAACCAGCACCCTGGGGGGCTGATGGGGAGTGTTCCTTCCCAAGTTGGGCTCAGCCAGGCAACATCCAGCAGCCCAAGAAGACCAGAGAAACAGCTGGACCTGTTTGACTGCTGTTGGCCAAGGATTTGTTGTGCTGTGAGTATGGGGGAAGTGAAGGAGGAAGACACGGAAGGCAACGTGAGATCTGATGTTTTAACTAATATGCCATTGGAGGGGCGCGGGTGGTGCTGTGGTCTAAACCACTGAGCCTCTAGGGCTTGCTGATCAGAAGATTGTTTCGAATCCCCACAACGGAGCAATGCTCCTGTTGCTCTGTCCCAGTTCCTGCCAACCTAGCAGTTTGAAAGCACGCCAGTGCAAGTAGATAAATAGGTACCACTGTGACAGGAAGGTAGACGACGTTTCTGTGTGCTCTGGTTTCCGTCATGGTGTTCTGTTGCACCAGAAGCGGTTTAGTCATGCTGGCCACTTGACCTGGAAAGCTGTCTGTGGACAAACGCCAGCTCCTTCGGCCTGAAAGTGAGATGAGCGCTGCAACTCCATGCTCGCCTTTGACTGGACTTAACCATCCAGGGGTCCTTTACCTTTTTACCTTTACCATTGGATGGACATCTTCTGAAGATTCACTGCCACAAGCCACAGGGCATGGGTGGTTTTTCTCATAGGAACTCAAGAAGCTGCCTTATGCTGACCACTGGTCTATCTAGCTCAGCCTTTCTCAACCTGTGGGTCCCCAGATGTTGTTGAACTACAACTCCCATCACCCCTAGCTAGCAAGGCCAGGGATCAGGGATGATGGGAGTTGTAGTCCAACAACAAATGGGGACCCACAGGTTGAGAACTGCTGATGTCATTGCTCTTCAACCTTGAGTCCCCAGATATTGCTGGACTGCAACTCTGATCCCCAGAAAGCTTAGCCAACAGTCGGTGAAGATAGGAGTTGTATTCCAACAACATATGGAGATCCAAGTTTGAAGATGGCTGATCTAGCACACTTCTGGCCACGTTGACTGGCAGGGTCTCTTCTGAGTTTTGGACAAATGTCTCTCCCAGCAATGCTTGGAGATGTTGGGCATTGAACCTGGGACCTTTGATATGCAAGGCAGATGCTCTACCACTGAGCTATGGCCCTAACAGTAGCTTTCTACATGGATATTACCTTATTATGCTCAGTCAATGTAAGATTAAAGTTTGCTTGTTGGTGCAGCCAATCTCATTCAAGGAATTATTTCTACTCCCCAACCAATATCGATTCAGAGTTAATGCCTATCATGGCGCCATCAGGCAAGGGATGTTCAGAGTCAGGAATTACCGAATTTTTCCACGTATAAGACAATGCTTTTTGCTAAAAAATATGAGGCAAAAACTGAGTGTCATCTTATACACGGATAGTGAAGGCAGAGGGGGACGTGCGATTAGTGGCAGCAGCAAGCAGGAGATTGGCAGCTGCGACTGGGTGGGTGATTGGCGGCTGTGGCGAGGCAGGCAGACGATTGGCAGCTGCGGCAAGTGGGCGGGTGGGCTGTTGGTGGCGGCGAGCGGGCAGACAGTTGGCGGCTGCAGCGAAGTGCGTGATTGGCAGAGGCTGTGGCAAGGGGTCAGCAGTGGCGGGCAGGCTGGTGAGCGATTGGTGGAAGTGACCTCCCCCACTCCCCCAAAAAGCTAAACAATTTCTTAATTTTGGGTTTTAAAAATAGGGGTCATCTTATACATGGGGGCGTCTTATACACAGAAAAACACAGTAACTCTTTATTATCAAAAGTACTTACTTTTGATAGGGGTGCTAACACCAGGAGGGGCTTGGGGGCACCCATACAAAAAATTCTGTGGGTGCCCGGCCTCTTGCCACCAACACCCCACTGCATGCTGGCTGCCACCACCGCCGGATTGGATTAGCCATTAAGCAAGTTAAGCACATGCTTAGGGCGTCACGGGAAGTGGGGCACCACAGAAATTTTCCATTGCTGGATTTTTAACATCAATAGTCACAAATTGCTCAGTGGAACCGGGCAACTGCATTGCAGGGAGTTAGACGAGATGACCCTGGGGGCATAGCTGTCAACGTTTCCCTTTTTTAAAGGGAAATTCCCTTATTCCGAATAGAATTCCTCGCAAGAAAAGGGAAAAGTTGACAGCTATGCCGGGGGGGAATCTCCCAGTGCTAGGGGTCTATTGTTCTGTGATGATTCTGTGCTGCCCCCTGCTGGTGGAAGGGCACCTTTGCTTCTGCTGCTGAGGATCTTCTGGATCACATGGGATTGTGCCATTTCTGAAGACTGGGAAGGGGACAGATTTCCCATTGCCATTTCACACTGGCAGCTGCCACATCCATAGAAGGGGGTAGACAGGCCTCCACCCCAGCCTGTCTTGCCATTTTAGGCCAAAGGCCCCTGTTCCATTGCACTTTATTTATTTATTTTGATGTTGTTGTTGTTTGTTGTTTGTTGTTGTTTGCCTCCGAAGCCGCTCCAACTCCATGTTGTGTGCTGTGCTGGCTGTGGGGCGGGGCAGGGCGAAGCAAATTGCTCAGTGGAGCTATTTGTTTTCTCATTTGAAATATACAGTGGAACCTCGGTTTTCGATCATCTCAGAAGTCGAACGTTTCGGCTTTCGAACGCCGGAAACCTGGAAATAACTGCTTCGGTTTTTTAACATTTCGGAAGTTGAACGGTCTTCCGGGACGGATTACATTTGAAAACCAAGGTTCCACTGCATTAAAACAGAAGAACTATGCAACGAGGCAGGCTGAATTCTTTATCTTTACTAAATATAGAAGCAGATGTGTTATGCAAGTTTTGTTTTGAAGATACGATATGATACGATAATCTTTATTGTCATTGTCCCATACAGAACAACGAAATTGAAAATCTACATCAGACATTCAGAAACCAACAAGCCTGCTATCCCAGCCTGGTTAGCCCCCTAAAAACTCTGATACCCCATAATTAAACACAATATACTCCCATAGAGACTTCCTTACACTGCGTTTAAAACCAAAATCACATTTGAATAGAAACTGTTTCTCAGGCAGCTAGTTCTAGTCTTTATAACCCTGTACCCTGAAGATCTGATCAAAGGCTTTGCAATTAGAAAACGCAGGGTGGGAAATTAAATATGAATAAAGTAGTATACAAAAAAACCCCACCACATTATTTTCCATTCTACCATAGTTTTCATTTCATTTCGATTTTTTTTTATGGTTTCTTATTGTTTATGTTTTGAATTAGATATATACGGGGGCACCAAAATCCTTCAAGTATTTAGGGCCTCTAAAGGTCTTAATCTGCCCCGGTAGCCCTGCCACAGATGGTAAGAAACGAAAGTTTAACCCAGTTGCGTAACCAACTCTATGTTACAGGGGCAAGTCAGAGGCTGGAAGGAGAATTTCCGCTATCGGAACCTGCGACTTTCCAGTGCCACGCTCCGTAGGCTGGAGACGGCTCTTTTGGAGCTGACGTCTCAGGATTTCAAGAATTCCTACGAATGGGAGAAGTTCCAGCTCTGGCTCCAGGAGGTCATGTACGCAGAGTGGTGGCTGGATCAAGCAGCCCGTGAGATCAAGCGCCGATGGAAAAACCTGACAATGTTCTGAAGGGCTGTGGGGGGGGGGGATTTTGAAGGGGTAAATTGTGCGTTTTGCTGGACAATAAAGATCTGAGAGCTAAGTCTTCATTCCAGGCCATTTTGATTACATTGTTGGTCGGTAAGAAGGGAGGTCCCCCACCATACATTTTGTGGTGAGGTGTTTTCAAACCAAAGGTGGGGATCAAGGGTCGCAAACATTTTGAGGGGCCACATGCAGTAGTCAGAAGGGCCAGGAGCAAAATGGGGCAAACTTTGCACAGTAGACTAGTTTCTACACATAGCTTGCCCTCCCTATGCTCCTTCCAGACAAGCAAGAGCTATTTTCAGAGTTCAGTAACGCATTCCAGCCAGGCCAAAAACACTCAAGAAGAGTGAGGAGTTTGAGTCCTGAGGGCCAACGGTCTAGTTTCTCTTGTACAGACAGTGGTAAACTCTAGGTTTACCCAAGTAGGACCAATTCAGCCAGCTAGCCCTGGGAATTATCTAATGCTTATTTCCCCTAAATTGATTTCTGAAATTTGAATTTTATTGTCATTCATGTTTTTATACTGTATTTTATGCTGCTTTTACAATTAAGTGCTTTAAATTTGTTGTTAGCCACCTTGAGCCTGGTTTTTGAACCAGGAAGGGTGGGGTATAAATAAAATGTTGTTGTTGTTGTTAGGTTAGATTGTGGAAATGTGTTATAGGTGGGGCTGCCTTTGAAGACCATGACATAGGTCATCTCCTAAAAGCAGGGATAGGGAATGTCTGTCCCTGCTGACCTCTCTGTTTGGTCCTTAGAGCAATCCCACGGATGCATCTCTCACTGCCCCCAAGTGGAGTTTCCCCTGGCTGGATTGTGTCCTTGAACTTTGCTTGCCTGGATGAATCTCCAGTTGAGATCCCTGCATTGCAGGGAGTTGGGGCTAGTTGACTTTCAGGGTCCCTTCCAACTCTATGGTTCTATGAGGACAAAAAGAGATGCTTTGAAACCAGCCTCCTAAACCAGAGTAACATATGCATAATCACCCCGCCTACTTTTGCCTCTGGCCCTGCCTGCCATTGGCGTGTGGCCCTTGGAAGGTCACTCAGAAGAGAAGGCGGCCCTCCTGCAGTAAGAAGTTCCCCACTCCTGCTCTTCAGACAAAATAAAAATAAGGATTGTGTTGGTCCGACAAGGGATGGACGGATTCCTCTTCATGCAGACAGCCTGAATTGCACAGCTCCCGAAGAGGTTGGAGTCAAGGCCATACGTCTCAAGATCTCCTTGGCAGCGACCAGCTGAGGTCACAATGGCTCCATCCCCACCACAGCCCTCAGCCCCAGTGGTGGTAGCCACATAGGGGAAAGCCGGAGAAAGGGGAGAAGGGCATCTCCCAGCAAGAGGGGGGTGAGCCCCCTGGAATGGGGAACTGGGCCTCCGGAAGGAAGCTGGAGGCAACAGGCGATGAAGAACCTAAGTCAGAGAAACCAGACAGGGGACGTCAGGGGTTGATGAAGTTCTTTCGGAGAGGCCAATGGGCAGTAAGTATTGGGGTATGGAAGTGGTATTGCAGGGCCATTGGGTCTCAAGAGCCTTCTTTGTGTGTCTCCTCCTTGAGAGGTCTGGAGGGTGGAAACACGAGAACGAGGCCTTCTCTGCAGTGGCTCCCTGTCTGTGGGATTCTCTCCCCAGAGACGTTCGCCTTCATTATATACATGTAGGCAGCAGGTAAAAACGTTTCTTTTTAACCAGGCCTTTGTTTGCTCTAATTGACATCCTATGCCCTATTTAAATGTGGTGGGGTTTTTTTGGAGGGGGGGGGGCGTGTTATTGAGTTGTTGTTTCTCTTTCGATTATATATTTTGTGGTTTTGTATTTTGATTTTGTTCTTTGAACCACCCTGAGACCTCAAGGCTTAGGGCGGTATATAAATTCAATAATAATAAATAATAATAATAATAATAATAGCTTCTTAAGCCACATTCTCACCCTAGATCAAGCATGTCCAAAGTGCGTTTTGGGGGCCCATCGGTCGGTTTAATCCGGCCCCTTTGGCGGTTTATTTCCTGGGGTAAAATCTAAAAAAAACCCTCAACAACTTCAATCCTTAAAAAAGCTCCCTCAGTCATGGGGGCAAGGGGACATGCTTGACCGATGTGCCTTGACCCTCCTTTTTCTGTGTGCCCCCGCAGAGCATTTCCTATCAGATGAAGGGTGAGTGCTGAGAAAAACCCCTTAATTCTGATTTCATTTTATTCTTTGCTAGATTTACAAAAAGGGAAAATACCACACACACACCAGTAAATTAATTTTAAAAAGGGGCAAGAAATTTGTGATTGCGGGAGATGCACAGTCGGACATTGGTCTTCTTCACAGAAGGTATGAAGCAACAATACTAATGGTGAATTTAGTATTTTGCATTTTAAACAAAAAGACTTTAAATGAAGATCTTTAACAGAAAATGCATAAACATGAGAAGCATGAGAACATATCATTTAATTTTTGAAGCACATTTGTCAGGAAGACCCAAGTCAAGATTTTTCTTTTTCTTTTCTCTTGCTGCAATTTGTCTGCTTTGAGTTAAACTGAATATCACTAGCAATTTATTGTTAAAGACAAGGTCAAAGTGCATTTATTGGGCTATCCTATGCACCCATTTACATGAAGGTGACTCCCATTCATGTTGATTATTTCAAGTTAAAAACACCACTTCCTTAACACTCATTGCTCACCTCAATTCTGGAAAAGTGTGTGTGTAAAATGAAATGGAATGGTTTCATTTCAAATTAGGCCAGACTCAATCTAGCATGTAGTTCATTCACCTTCCTTATAACAGCATAAGTGATTTTGTAACAAACTGAAATGATTGCATTCATAGTCTGAAACAATTACAGACACTTTTCAATCAAGACTATGAAAAGAAGAGAAATCACTATGAAACAGTATACCTGAAGAAGGAGTGTCTCCACCCCCATGATTCAGCCTGGACACAAAGGTCCTCCTCCGAGGGTCTTTTGCTGGTTCCCTCACTGTGAGAAGTGAAGTTACAGGGAACCATGCAGAGGGCTTTCTCGGTAGTGGCACCCAAGCTGTGGAACACCCTCCCTTCAGATGTCAAGGAGATAAAGAACTACACAACTTTTAGAATACACCTGAAGGCAGCCCTGTATCGGGAAGTTTTTAACGTTTGATCTTTTATTGCTTTATATATTTTTCTGGAAGCTGCCCAGAGTGGCTGGCGAAACCCAGATGAGTTGGGTATTATTATTATTATTATTATTATTATTATTATTATTATTATCAACAAAGTCAGACCCATCCATGAATGTGGCCTGGCATTAGGCATGTCATACTTTCAAAACCTTTCTTGATATGACCATTATGTATGCATGGATAAGTGTCATTATACAGTTTACCCACTGGATGGCGCTGAACATGGCCCCCATTTGCCTATTTCCATTTAATCACCAGGATTTCAACTCCAAAGGGAAACAAGGATGTCAGATACAGTGGACCCTCCAGATATGAATTAAATTCGTTCCGGGGATTCGTACCTAAGCTGAAAAGTCCGTAAGTGGATGCGCCCCTTCTGCGCACGCGTGTGGTGCGATAGAGTGCTTCTGCGCATGTGCACATGGTGAAACCTGGAAGTATACACTTCTGGTTTTGACGCGTTCGCAACCCACAAGTCACATATCCAGAGCGGTCCACTGTACCTTGCAATTTGCTATTGTTCTTGATTGTCTCTCCCTACTCCGCCTAAAAAAGGGAGGCATTTCACCTCAAACTTTTTGTTCCAGCCCAAAGAAATATCGCTTGCCCCTAGTGAGATATTCTACCAAGACCTGGACCCCATTCGAAAGGAGATGCTGTCTTCCTGGGGACGTAGAGGTGCCCGTCTCCGCCGGGCGGCTCAGAGATCTTGTCCTCCACTGTCCTCTTTAACGTTGTGGGTGGCCGGAGATGGGGGCGAGCGTGAAGAGAACTACAGGTATCACCGCTTGATGGGGAACCTCGTCTCTTCCATGGTGGCAGAAGAAGACTTGCCTCCCCCCACGTGGTATGAGGTCCCAAGAGACGATGCTGTGGGTCCCCCTCCCCCTCCTCCCCTCCGATACCTGGCTAACGGCATGATCATGGCAGAAGGGCATCCCTTGCCCCACCTCAACCTTGACCATGGCACCCAGAGGGGAGAATAAAATGAAACATCTGGTAGAAGCATCTCATGGCGTGCCTTTGTGTCTCCTTATTCCAACCATGGCTATGTCAGTTGTGAAAAACAGAAACACATATAGTGGTACCTTGGGTTACAAACACTGTCTGTATTTTCATCCCTCCCATTGCAAAGATCACCAGATCATGTTTGTTTTACTTTTTGTCTCTGAGAAAGGAGGGGGCTGAGACCATTCTTCCAGACTTCCGTCCCTAGCCTTGTGCCTGTTTTCTTTGACTAGATGGCAGTATGAGAGAGCTGACTCTCTTGTACATGTTTGTTGTGTTCTTTTATTTGTTTAATCAGTAGAACTAAAATTAGGTATGTAACAAAACCTCCACAGTTTTGTTTCTGTTTCTCTGCTGCTTTTGAGGTGCTCACAATAGCAAATGCGAATCCACTGCACCAGGACCTGTTCCAGCAGAATACTGTGCTGCTGTTCCTGCGTTCCTGTGATCGGAAGGTTGAAGAAGGTGCTACCGACACCCAGCCCATGCAGACGCTGAAGATGTGGGCTATATATGGGTGTACGGTCAAACACCTTGGGTTATAAACACTTTGGGTTAAAAACTCCCCTAACCCAGAAGTAGTACCTCAGGTTAAGAACTTGACCTCAGGATGAGAACAGAAATCGTGCAGCAGCAGCAGCAGCAGGAGGCCCCATTAACTAAAGTGGCACCTCAGGTTAAGAACGGTTTCAGCTTAAGAACGGACCTCCGGAATGAATTAAGTTCTTAACCCGATGTACCACTGTATTGTTAAAGGTTTGGAGGATCAGTCTTGATGATAACCATGGGTCCCTTCTAGGCCTGTGATCTTCTTCCCAGAGAGGTTCAGAATAGGATGCTGAACCAATCTCCAGCCCCATTGGTCAGCCTGAGATCCAGATCCGAGGGGCCTTCTGGCAATTCCTTCATTGAGAGAAGTGAGGTTACCAGGAACCAGGTAGAGGGCCTTCTTGGTAGTGGCGCCAGCCCCATGGAACACCCTCCCATCAGTTGTCAAACAGATTAACAACGGACTTTTAGAAGACATTTGAATGCAGCCCTGCATTGGGAAGGTGTTAATGTTTGAGGTTTTATAATTTACTGGAAGTTGCCTAGAGTGGCTTGGGCAAACGAGTCAGATATGTGGCATCATCATCATCATCATCATCATCATCATCATCATCATCTAGGAAGGCTTATTTGTTAGCTAGTGGCCTTAGCTGCTCAGCTAAGTATCCATCATCAACATCTTAAAATTGAGCCCCTTTTTCACCTCACCTGGTGATACGCCACTCATTCTAGGATGGAGGAAAATAGGCCAAACGTTAGAGCTGACCTTCATTCCAAGGACACCCAACCCTGGGTAAACACAGTGAGGTGCACACAAATATATGCAATTGAATATACAGTGGTACCTCGGGTTAAGTACTTAATTCATTCCAGAGGTCCGTATTTAACCTGAAACTGTTCTTAACCTGAAGCACTACTTTAGCTAATGGGGCCTCCTGCTGCTGCCACACCGCTGGAGCATGATTTCTGTTCTTATCCTGAAGCAAAGTTCTTAACTCGAGGTAATATTTCTGGGTTAGCGGAGTCTGTAACCTGAAGCGTATGTAACCCAAGGTACCACTGTATTTTGAATATATTTTTAATGAAAGTCAGGGCCAAAGTGTTTTGAAGCAATACATGCCCAACTGCTGTGCATCACGGACAAGCCTACAAGCCCTCACCATGTTAGGGGTGGCTTAGGACAGTGGATGCTTATTCTACTAGCAGTTTGTTGGCAGTGATAGAAAGAAACATAAAAGTAATAGGATTATTTCATCAGTAGACAGTGGGAGGGGGAAGCAGGACCATGCTCAGGTGGGACTTTTAAAATCTGTGGAAACTCTTCTTTTTTCCTAAAATAAACTAAGGGGGACTGGGAGAAAAACAAACTCCTTCTAATTAAGGAGAGGATCACCTGTCCAGGGATATTCTTTGACCCAGGGGATCCCTTGCTCTTAATTAGGTCTATGAGCTGCTATCTCCCAGTCCTGTTTTTTTGTTTAAAAGAAGTTCACCACAAAGTTTAATTGGGCAATTTCTTAAGGGAATGAGGATCTTAGACCAAAGTTTTGTAGCTCATTACTGATTATATTCTCAGGTGCAACATCCAGCATAGTTCAAAGGACCTTACTACTCTAGTGATTCCAGAAAGGTGGTACATTTCAACTGTAGATAGCATCATGAGGTCAAGCGGAGATTCTGAGCTGAATTTGAGCAACTTTGATTTCCTGGAGTCCAGCACCATTTACCCCCATTTATAGTCTCAGTCCAGTATACCTGAAGGAGTGTCTCCACCCCTATCGTTCAACCTGGACACTGAGGTCCAGCTCTGAGGGCCTTCTGGTGGTTCCCTACCTGTGAGAAGTGAGGTTACAGGGAACCAGGCAGAGGGCCTTCTTGGTGGTGGCGCCCGCCCTGTGGAATACCCTCCCATCAGATGTCAAGGAAATAAACAACTCTGACTTTTAGAAGACATCTGAAGGCAGCCCTGTTTAAAGAAGTTTTTAATGTTTGATGTTTTATAGTTATTATTATTATTATTATTATTCTGTTGGGAGCCGCCCAGAGTGGCTGGGGAAACCCAGCCTGATGGGTGGGGTATAAATAATAAAATATTATTATAAATTATTAGACCCCAATGGATATATCAATGCAAGGTGTAAAAGCATTGAATGTTAAATACAATGGACCATAAGGCAGCTTATTGCAAGATGCTGATGTAACACAAAGGACTGTTTTATTGTGTGGAACCAGTGGCACCAGTATGGCACAAGGGCATCCCCAAATAACTTCATCCCATTAGTGGCAGTCAACCACAATGTCTTTCCTCTTTTTTAAAAACCAAGTTAGTGCATTGCAAAGCAAATCGCTAGACAGTCCATCATGGATATCAATGGCTATGTACCACGATGGCTATGTTCTCCCTCCACTTTTCTAAGTCTTATGCCTCTGAAAATACCACATCCTTTCCTCACATCCTGCGTTCAGGATTCTGGTTGGCCACTGTGAAGAACAGGGTGCTGGACTAAAAGAGCCTTTGGCTTGATCTAGCAAGGCTTTTCTTAGTTTCTTGTGTCGTTCTGGCCACCATCTTTATTTCCCAGAGTGCTTTGCCTCTGGTAAAAGGTAAAGGTAAAGGGACCCCTGACCATTAGGTCCAGTCGTGGCCAACTCTGGGGTTGCGGCACTCATCTCGCTTTATTGGCCGAGGGAGCCAGCGTACAGCTTCCGGCTCGTGTGGCTAGCATGACTAAGCTGCTTCTGGCGAACCAGAGCAGCGCACAGAAACTCCATTTACCTTCCCGGCGGAGCGGTACCTATTTATCTACTTGCACTTTGACGTGCTTTCGAACTGCTAGGTTGGCAGGAGCAGGGACCGAGCAATGGGAGCTCACCCTGTTGTGGGGATTCGAACCACCGACCTTCTGATCAGCAAGTCCTAGGCTCTGTGGTTTAACCCACAGCGCCACCCGCGTCCTCTGGGACTGCATGGAATTCTGTGAAACAGCTATGGAGGACACAGCTCTCTGGAGCTTGGCACTGCAGCCTTCCTAGCTCTGTTACAGAGTTAAAACTTCAGTTCTCAAGCATCTTCAAGCCTACACAAGAAACTGTGCAGCCCACCATGAATATTTTTCCTGGTTTCATACCCTCTTTGTCATTGTATTTACCATGGGCTTAAGCTGGGCAAAGTACTAAGGAAATGCTGGATTCCTTTTTTTTTTTTTAAATGATATTTATTAAAGTTTCACAAAGATACATGAAAGTACCGAATAAAGAAAAAGTATAAAGTTTTAAGATATAACAAAAACAGTAAAAAATAAGAAAGAAAAAAAAACATACAAAATAAAACAGTTAAAAACACAATAATGTTCCATAACCTATCTTCCTTACTCTTATTTCCCCGGACCTCCTCATACCTCCCTTCTTTGTATTCCAATTCAATTTGTTGGTTCAGCAAATCCTTACCATTAATCTTTTACCCAATTGTTAACCTTTTTTTTTTTTTCATATCTCTTAAAGCATTACAGCTAAAAACCTCTTAGTTTCTATCCAACATCCTTCTAAAGTTCCTTAATTTTGCAATATTTCTGTAAATAGTCCTTAAATTTCTTCCAGTCTTCTTTCACCGACTCTTCTCCCTGGTCTCGGATTCTGCCAGTCATTTCCGCCAGTTCCATGTAGTCAATCACCTTCATCTGCCATTCTTCCAAAGTGGGTAGATCTTGTGTCTTCCAATACTTTGCGATAAGTATTCTTGCTGCTGTTGTAGCATACATGAAAAAGGTTCTGTCCTTCTTTGGCACCAGTTGGCCGACAATGCCCAAGAGAAAGGCCTCTGGTTTCTTCAGAAAGGTATATTTAAATACCTTTTTCAGTTCATTATATATCATTTCCCAGAAAGCCTTAATCTTTGGGCACGTCCACCAAAGGTGAAAGAATATACCTTCAGTTTCTTTACATTTCCAACATTTATTATCGGGCAAATGATAAATTTTTGCAAGCTTGACTGGGGTCATGTACCACCTGTATATCATTTTCATAATATTCTCTCTTAAGGCATTACATGCCGTAAACTTCATACCTGTGGTCCATAACTGTTCCCAGTCAGCAAACATAATATTATGGCCAACATCTTGTGCCCATTTAATCATAGCAGATTTCACCGTTTCATCCTGAGTATTCCATTTCAACAGCAAGTTATACATTCTTGACAAATTTTTAGTTTTGGGTTCTAACAATTCTGTTTCTAATTTTGACTTTTCCACTTGGAAGCCTATTTTCTTATCCAAATTATATGCCTCCATTATCTGATAGTAGTGGAGCCAATCTCTCACTTTATTTTTAATTTCTCAACACTCTGCAATCTCAATTTATCTCCTTCTTGCTCCAAAATTTCCCAATATGTCGGCCATTTGGCCTCCATATTGAGCCTTTTCAGAGCTTTTGCTTCCATTGGTGACAGCCACCTTGGGGT